GTAAGTAAGTGCGGACGAGCGTTCTGTAGCTAAGCTTCCAAACGTATGGTTACTTAAAGACAGTAGTATTGAGCACGAAGAACAGAACTAACTAAGTACATGAGAGAGTGTCCTTATATATCCTATCCTTCGTATACCATATCATATACCATCGGGTCTGCCGTATACCAGTATGGTAGTTGTAGACCATGATGGTATGCCGTATACCATATGTTCGTCCATATACCGTAGTCACGTGGTGCGAGGCCGTTCCGGGCGTCGTGTTGGCAATCCGCGATTGTACTAAATAACAGTTTGGTTTTGCCCGAGCGCTGCCCTTATCGGCGCTTTCTGCCTGGCGAGTCCGCCTTACTAGTAGGTTAACTAGCAGGGGTCCGTAACATATACTTAGAGATTATTTTTCTTATTTTAGTAGTATATTCTTTATAAAAAATATTTTTTATAAAATATATAATCTTCTTCTACTTTTTCTTAATAATAGATAACTTGTTAGATAAGTCTTAATTTTTTTTATAGTAATTATTATTTTTATTTTATTAGATTTACTGCACTGTTTCTTTGCATTTCTATAGATAATATAGAAATTATTATTATTATAAATTATATCTGAGTTCTCTAGTATCCTGCTCTTTACTAAGATAACCTATACAGACATATTAATTTATATCTTTTATAAAAATATAAGTACTACTATAAAAACTGGTATCCTACACTGCAGAATTCTACCAAGAACAAAATTAGATCAGAAATCTTTAATAAATTCAATTATTATAATATACAAAGATTACTTTATATTAAAGAAATTATATATAATATTCTGATATAGTATAATATTATGTCTGAGAACGATTCTCTAGAGTACTTAATATATATTATTAGTATATTCTTTTATATTAGTAAAATCTATAAATAGATCTAGCATCTTATCTGATAAATTCTGAGTTAACTATAACTGAATAATTCTTAAATAAATTTATTATATCTTGTATTTTATATACTTATTATTAGATTTAGATAAATCCTTATTAATCAGATCTAGTAGTCTGATATTCTTAAATATCTACTTAACTTAGAAATCTTATTTCAAGAAATTTACATATTCCTCTAATAAGAATAGTAATCCTGGAATATTATCAGATATTTATTTAAATAGTTTATTTATTTATAATTTAAATATTATTATCTCCTTCTCTTCTAAAGAAAGATTCTTGAATAATATACTATATCTAATTTCTCATGCTATTCCGCCTGTTCAATGTGCTTGGCATGAGTGGATAAATAAATTATATAATATACTTTCTTAGCGCGTGTAAGTAATCTAATTAAATCTGTTAGGCTTGCCAAGATCAGTATTCCGCGGTACTAGAATATCTTATCTAGCAGTAAATAACTGGCTATAGCGAGTCCTGAATAACTTCACAGTGTAGAGGCCGGGCTCATAACCTCTTGAGACGTGTTCTACAGCAACAAAAGCAATAAAACGAACAAACAAAGATCGAGCAAAAGAGTGAGTTGAATTGAGCTATCTAGAAGAGCGAAACAAAGCAACGCATAGAGGTGCTTTGTGTGGGAGGTCTGAGCGCAGCACGTGACTAGCCTACATGGATGCCTCAACATACTATAACAACAGAAGGGGAAAAGAAAGAAAGAAGAAAAGAAGACGACAAGTCCCTGACTTCCAGTTCCGCCTTGGAAGATAGAACGTTTATTCGGACGTGTTAGGCTAAACGCGGTATGCACAAGTACACTGCTTCATAGTCCTATAAAATCAAAACGAGAATAGAGGCGACATTGTTCTTTGGATTGCTGGAAGTCTAAACAAGCTGTTTCCACCAGCGGAGTCGCGCTTGCTGCTCGACGGAACACTACCGCCCTCATGTTCGACATTCAAAGGAGTCCGCTCCAAGCTGCGGAATGGGTCTGTGTGGTGTATCATAGGCTTCACCGAGAATGCCCTTAGAGGTGACGGTACGACAACGACCGATCTGGCCTTAGAGCCATGGCGTTCGTGGCGAGAGGGTTTTAACGCACTGGCTGGACGTTCCGGTATTGCATTCAGCTCAGTTGTAGAGCCTGCATGTCCCAGGGTAGAGCTGGGCGAGTCAAGCGTAATTGTAGAGACGCTTTTGCTCGCCTGATAAACTCTTGTCACGGAGGGGCCATCTTGTTCAACAAAAAGAGGTGAAGAGGGCGAACGACTTTTACTGAACATCAGGGTCTCTCGGCTTATTTGCTTGCTACTCGTTGATGTCATTTCGTGGCCTTCCTCGAGCAGTGAGAGAGCAGAATATCCGGAGTTTGTATAATATCGCTTCTCGCGTTTATGTCGCTCCCAGCTTCTTTTAGCCTTTTTGATGGATAGGATAGCCAAAAAGGTCAAAGCCATTGCTGTGACGGCTGTAAATATGCACGCGGCAGCAATAGAGCTTTTCTGGTAACTCCAATGCGGTATCCAATTCCTACTCATATTCTCCGGTCCGCTGATGTCTGCACGTAGGTTTATCTGAGGTATTCCAGTTCGTGATGCACCGTCTCCTATTGTGACCGTTCCCTGCGCCGAGGTGTTTGCGCGAGTTGCAAGCTGGGAGTCTCTGGAATAACCAAGACCTTTAGGTATGATATCCAGCTGATGTTTGACAACTTCGCTGTTTCTGTTCCACAGACGCATTCCCCCAAAGCTTTCATTAAGCAAGCTGTGGGTGCTTGTCAGTATCCCGGCAGACGTTTGTGACTGCTGCCCCGGCGCCAATCTGGATGTGGCATTGGCCCTTGAGGGCACAATAGAATCTAACAGCATCGGGAACGCGAGTTATGAAGCGAACAGTGGTGTAGCTTGCCAGGCCTTTTCTTGCTGCAGGCAAGGAAGGCTAATAATGTGACGCGTGGTGTGTATAAAGATCGAAAGCGCAATACAACTGTTCGATGGCGGTAGCTTGTATATTGATGATCGCTGCCATTAGAGCAAATGCGTCGAATTAGTATCATGTCAGAAATGTTTCAGAGAGCAAAGGGATGAGATTTGAAGCTGTCCGTTACAACACGGCTTAAGTGATACCAGCGAATAGTAGAGGCAACTGCTCTGAGGGGCACGGCTGGGTTGTGGTTTCCTAGATTCAGGGTTTGTGTGGAACCTAAGCTTAGCATAGTGGCGCCTAAACAGAGTGTAGTACTCTTCTGATGCTTGTAGATGCTGTAGAAAACGCTCGGTACTAGCTGTGAGCCTCACATTCAGCGCTCAAGTAATGTGCTACTAGGTTGTTAAGCACTAGTAGTCGAGTAGATGATCAGTGTAGACCGGTACTATATATTAGCGATATATTCTGCATTTATTGCAGCGAGTAGTGACACCACAGTACTGTACTACCCTCAGAAACCTGTACTAGTCCCTGAAACACCGAAGTAGTCAAACTCAAGAGTATATCTGATGACATGGTCCTCGTTACAGTTCAAGGACGAACCAATGATGAAGCCATCAACAAATCCCAGGACAGAAGTATACCCCTCGCATGTGACATGCCGCCCCCTCAATCGCGCTAGTCCCGAAACAGATCGACGTCATCAGCACCGCCACACTCCAGCCCCATCCTCCCGCATGATGTCATCGCCAGGGTCTCAATGTAACAAAGTATATATAAGTTATGAAGGGTGCCTGTCAGGCTTATCTCCCACTTTCAAACCTAAGATCATCTTACCTCCACTGAATTTATCTATTACACAAAAGAATAAAGAATTTATCTCGACTTCGCAGACACAGAGCAAATTACAACCATGCCTCTCGTCGTCCCTGGAATCAACAACACCTCTGGTGGTGCCAGCCAAGAGGAGTGGCTCAACAAGCTGGCGGGCAAGAAACTCACTGAGTCGTCAAGTGATGTGACGGTGCGGCTCTATAGTTGCTGTCGTTTGTGGGGTCTTTGTAAATGATGCTAACGAACTGTCTGATATAGTCATTCGCGAAGAAGGATCTGCCCCAGCAACATCGTGTAATCAAGCCTGGGGATGCTATGACGATGGATATGAGGCCGGAACGGTGAGCATTCTTTTCATTACGATACCTTGCCTCGTATATATTGCAAAAGTACTGATAGCTTTGTGTCCTAGGATGAACATCCACGTGAGCGAAGATGGCACTGTTCATAATGTGACCTTTGGCTAGAGGGCGATACATCATGGCTTCTTGATTGTTTATGAGATGCGACGTGACTTGTTACGAATTATGGGACAATATTCATGTACTATTTTGAGAGGGACCTAAATAAATAATACTGTTCATTTCAGTATGATATCCTGTCAGCTACTTGGATGACGTAGTCTGCCGACAAATCAACGTACTGTGAAATATGGGCTGAAAGAAGAAAGAATCACAATGCATTCTACCGCACGGCACGCAAAATCATTGTAGAGTAGTACTCAGCCTAATATATCTCTATACCAACAGTCCAATCATCATTCACGCCAGCTTCCACCTCAGCAAAGTCAAAGAATGTTTCGGGAACACAAATTGTTCCCTTGCCTCCCATGTACTCTCAGTCACTGCAACCTCCTCTTTGCCATTCATATTACAAGCTTGGACTCTCTCTCCAGTAACAGTAAAAACCGAAACCGTTCCAGACGGCCCATCAATGCTACTCCGGATATCTTTTTCCTCATGAATATTGACCACCGCAACATTCACATACCCATCCTCACCAAGGGTAGCGCTAACGTCCAACCAGGGTGTATCTTTGACCCCGCGCACCCACTTGGGAGAAGTCTCTCCTTCATACGAGGCGCAGGAAAGATGCACACTGATGGTCCATCCCCGCATATACTTCGAGAACAGGTACAAAGGCCAATAAGTCGTCTGCTTAGTGATGCCGTCCTTGCTTGTCATGAGTGGGGAGATGACATTGACGCTCTGGGCGATGCACGCCATGCCCAGGTCTTTGCTCTTCCGGACAAACACGTTCAGAAAAACGGCGACGGCGAGTGCGTCCGAGAGGGTGTAGGACTCCTCTGCGCCCTTGCTGCCCTCTGCGCGAATAGGGTCCCAGACGTTCCATTCATCGAAGCAAATGGTGGGTCGGTGTTGGTCGGGTGGGACTCCGTTCTCAATTCGGGCGAGGTCTATCAGAGACGAGGTGATTTCGATGGCACGCTCTGCGGCTAGGGGGGCAGTAACATTGGGGAGATGAGAGGGAGAGGATGTGTATAGATGGATGCTGTGCATGTCGATGAGAGGCACAGTGCTGGTAGATAGAGGAGAGTGGGCTGGGAGTAGGCATTGCTTAAGGGTATAGTAGTCCCATGAAGCTGTGCCATCTTGTCCACAGAGAATCAAGATCAAGCTGGGATCAAGGAGCTTCAAGGCTATAGACCGTATCAGTAAGAGCTTATGAGAAGAGCAACAGATGGCGTACCCTTGGCCCATTGATAGGCTTTGTGAGCATATGCTTCCTTGGTCATCTGTTCGACCTGCCAGGGACCCCAGGTCTCATTGCCTAGGGCCCAGTATTTGACCTGGAGTATCGAATGAGTATAAAGGAAGACAGAGGGATAGGGTTAAATACATTGTATGGTTCCTCGCGACCATTCTTCCGTCGAAGGTTAGCATAGTATGTATCTTTGGTACCGTTACAGTACTCAACCCACGCCAGCGCTATACCAAAGGCCATTAGTGATGTGCCAGGAATGGAGTTGAGATCTGTTACCTTCGTCAAGAGTACCTGGCCATACGTCAGCGCTGGTTCTTCAAGTAAGATGAATCACATTACCAGTTCCAAAGTTCAAGCAGAAGTAGGGCTCAGTTCCAAGGACTTCACACCATTTCAAGAATTCATCTGTGCCGAACTGGTTGGTCTCTGTTCCCAGCCATGCCAGCTCAGGTCTATAGAGCAATGTGGTTAGTCTTACAACATCGCCATTGAATTGAAAGGATATCTATCGTATGAGATGCATAACAGCAAAGACCCCAGACAAGGTATGACGATAGATGTTGACTAGATGGTCATGTGGACATACCTAGCAGGCCGTTTCTCCTTCGGGCCAACTCCATCGATCCAATGATAAGTCGCCATGAAGTTCCCGCCGGGGTAGCGGACGACGGGGATATTGAGCTCCTTCAGAGCTTCAAGGACATCCTTCCTGAAGCCATTCTCGTCCGACAGTGAATTACCTGGATCGTAGATTCCCCCGTAAATGCACCTGCCCATGTGTCTTATGATACATGAGCTCACTGCCAACCTTTCCACAGACTAGATGGGTTATGATCCTTGAACTTACTCTGTAAACCCCGCGTAGATGTTCGGATTAATCTTGGAAAGACGCCTCGCTGGGTGGATGGAAATACTAGGCGCATCCTGGTCACTGAGCTTGGTGAAAGTGGTCATGGCGGGAATGATTCGACAAGGTTTCACGTAGGGTAAGTAATAACCTAATCTGAAATAGTATAGAATAAATCAAGTCGGCAAACTCTACCAGAGAGGATTTGTCCAAAGCCAGTATGATGGCAGACTAGCGATAGATATTAATGTACGAAAGCTATTACCCTGAGTCCCGCATAAATTGGGGAAATCCCCTGCGGGGTGATTCCAGACCCGCGACTGACTCTCATGTGCACCACGCGATGATGATCGCTTAGGGCGTCGGGAGTGGACGAGATGCGAGGTGCTCTGACGCCGTTGGCTTGGGGATCAAGCCGAGGCAACGCCACGGCAATATTCCATCAATCAGCACGCTTGTCAGACGGGAATCTTTTCTTGGTCCAGAAACCGTGCATACTGGTACCATTCCCACATCGACAAAGCGTTACTTGGCTTGACCGGGGTAGTCGATAGCGATAGGTCATGCATGGCATGTTGTTCAGTGGCTTCGGTTGGGTTGGATCCTGAGATTCCTACAACATGGCCACAAATGGCTTCCTCGCCGACGGCCTCGTTTAAATCTCAATTAACCGAGATGCTTATGTCCTTTTCAGCGAAGCATGAGGTTAATATGGCCCATAGTATGGCTATACACGTGGAATGCGCGGCTCAATCCCCAGATGTTCTTAAGGGACTGAGGGTCCTGTACCCCAGATTGGGTCTCCGCATTTCTGTCTGATTTAGCTCAGCTTAGTGATTCGAGCGACTAAAGCTTTAGGAGCGCCTTTTCTTTCTTCCATCATGCGTCTCTCCCCAGCATGGTATCAAGTCAGTCATGATCCTCTGAGTATCTGCGACGAAATATGGACTAACTGAGTCTTCAGTTCCTAGTAGGCGTTTTCGCCTCGCTAGGTTCATTCTTATATGGATGTGTGTATACATTTCCTCCTTGTGGATCCACGGGGCCTAACACTAGTTTCCGCAGACGATTTAGGTGTGATTGCTGAAGTCATCGCCTGCGGGTCGTTCATATCCAGATTCAATTTGAATGACACTGAATCGTGGGTCGCTATCTCTTGCTAGCATGAAGTGTTCTGACATCCCGTAGTGGACTTGTGGTGTCGATGTTCACTGCAGGTGCTTTCTTTGGTGCAGCGTTTGCAGGTCCAAGTGGCGACAAGCTAGGCAGACGATGGACCATTACTGTCGGTTGTGTTCTCTTCTGCCTCGGAGGTGGTCTTCAGACTGGAGCACGGACTGTCGCCTACCTCTATAGCGGAAGGTTCTTTGCTGGACTGGGGTATGCTTTTCTAGACCCAGCGATAACTGAAGATCATAGATTAATGTCTTCGCAGGGTCGGCTTCCTTACTATGATTATCCCTCTTTACCAGGCGGAGATCTGCCATCCGGACATACGTGGTCGTGTTACTGCTCTGCAGCAATTCATGCTAGGAGTTGGGTCTCTATGTGCTGCTTGGATCTCATACGGCACATATATTGGATTTTCCGAGACCAATGACACACAATGGCAGCTACCCCTTGGGCTGCAAATTGCACCAGCTGTGTTCCTGGGACTTTTGATCATGCTATTCCCTGAGGTACGCAATGCCTCACCGTTCGCCTGCTTTTATGCTGATAAGTACTAGTCACCGCGGTGGCTCATTGATCACGGCCAGCACGAGAAAGGCTTGAAGACATTGGCAATGCTTCATGCCCACGGCAACGAAGAGGATCCTTGGGTTCGTGCGGAATTTAACCAGATTCAAGAAAGCATTGTTTACGAGCATGAGAACGAAGCCAAGTCCTACAAGGAACTCTTTACCTCACGATCGTCTTTCCGTCGCCTGTTTCTTTGTTGCTCATTACAGGCATCTGTACAGATGACCGGCGTGTCTGCAATCCAGTGAGTACTCTCTTGCATATAAAGGTGAATCCAGAGGCTCACAACTCACCTGATAGATACTACTCTGTAACCATCTATGGTCAGATTGGCATTAGTGGCGACAAAACGCTACAGTATCAAGCTATCAACTCCATCATCGCCCTTGTAGCTCAATTCCTATGCATTCTCTTCATTGACCGAGTCGGTCGCCGCTGGAGTTTGATTTGGGGTAACCTAGGAAACATGGTAACGTTTATCGTTGCCTGCATTCTGTTAGCACAGTTCCCCCCAGAAAGCCACAACACCGGAGCCCACTGGGGCTTTATCATCATGACTTGGCTATACAACTTCTCCTTCTCGTGCACATGTGGCCCTCTCTCCTGGATCATCCCAGCAGAGGTATTCGACACCCGAACGCGGTCGAAGGGCGTTTCGTTGGCTACTATGACATCGTATGCATTCAACACGATGATTGGGCAGGTGACGCCCATTGCCATGGAGAGTGTGCGCTATCGGTACTATTTCCTCTTTATCATCTGCAACTTCACGAACGCGGTGTTCTTCTGGCTGTTGCTTCCTGAGACGAAGAAATTGCCGCTTGAAGAAATGAACTACCTGTTCTCGAATTCTCCGTGGATTGTGGCGGGTAAGCGGAAGGAGGATTATGTTCCTCACGATTTACAGCGCAGGCTTGAGGAGGAGGCGGAGAAGAGAGAGGTGTTTGCGACCCACAATGAAGTGAGTTGAGCACTGGTAAAGAGTTGATTCGGAGGTCAACCTATTAGGTGTCTTCTGTTTTGATCAGAGGGTTTGAGTAAGGGGAGTATGCTCTTACTGGCACCAAATTATCTTGATTGCATAAGTAGCAGTTATGTAACTCGCATTGGTTTGAAACTAATGGATTGATGAGTGGACACGGTGAAGTGTAACTGTTAAAGTGAACAGACCCGCGCGGCTTTCCTGACCACCTGATGTGAGATGTAGCATCAAGTACTGTAAGTCTCGGTAATTCAAAATTGATACGCACGAGTCTGAAGCCTACAAATATTGTAAGAACTACCATCTAAATCTTTAACGTGTAATATTATTATAGAATATGGATATAGATAAGACCTAAACACTTTTAGTGATCCAAAGGCCCCGTTGGTGATGTTTCAGTGCAGGATAGAGAGCCCTTCAAGCTCAGGGCAGCGAGGCAACAGTTACATTGTTACCGCTCCAGCAGACTGTAGGCGCAGAAAATCAAGCGATAGAGAGACCGAATGTAAAGAGCAGAAACACCAAATGCCTATTGCACAATCTGCCTAGAAGATCATTCTGAATCTGAGCCGTAGCCGGCTAATCCAAGGGATAATGAAGGTGTTTTTGCTGTTGTGTTCGATGCAGTCTGTTTTGGACTTGATTTTGAATCCTGTACAGGCTTTGTTGCTCCAGGAGATGTAATTGGTTGCTTTGGCACTTCCGGTTTCTCTTGCGCTGACTCCGGCTTGCTTTCAGGGACAGTATTATCGACCTTTCCGGATTCTTTGTCCGCACTTAGTTCTTTCGAAAAGTTTCCAGTATTGTCGCCTCCAAGAGACTTGCGCTTTTTGCCAGGTATGAGAAGGTCTTTGCTCTTCTCTCGGCGTCTCTTGCGGGCAGGAATTTTCCAGTCCTCTCCTTCAGCGGCCGGTGCAACATCCGCAGATGTATCCTCCAGTAAAGCTTTCTCTGCTTCTTCCCGCTGTCGACGGAACAACTCAAGCTGTTCGGCAGTCTCCTTCTTGACCGCAGCTTCCTTAGCCCGGGTGGACTCCATGATGGAATCGAGGAATTCGACTTCGTCTTCGTCCAGCGAACGGAATTGATTCTTCAACTTGATCTTCTCTTCGAAAGCTTCCTGCTTGGCCACTTTGCGCGACAAAACACATCACCCTAACATGTCAATCCAAGGCGTCTCTAGCACACGCACCTCATGGCATCTCCGCACAATGTGGAGACTCACTTTTGTTCTGCTGCAGTACTTCGTATAAGCTTTTGCCATCTTCCTGCCTCCCTAGCTCTGCTTTGCGCTTTCGCTCCTCCTCGAGTTCATTTTGCACACGACGCCATTCATCGTCGCGTTCGATTGGCTCCTGATCCGTTCCGGCAGATACGAACCCAGACGACATGGTCGATCGCTTTGGCGGGAGTAGTACGCAAAGCTAGCAGGTGGTCGTCGAATGAAATCGCCGGGATTGTGACGGAGCGTACAACACAATAGCCGTAAGATCTGCAAAAGCGTCCGGCAATGAATCCAGCGCGACAAGATCGTAAAGGGCGGCGGAGCAACGTCACGGGCGTCTTTGCTTTGCTAGCTTCCGGCGGCTTCTTCCTTCACTTGTGACCGTTGCCAACCGAGAGCCACAATAGTGGACTGGCAGAAACGGGCGGTGAAGTGCATGTGGTCTATGGTTATTGGGCCTGAGGCAGAGCCACCCCGGAGCGGCGGATTTTTGTTTTGGTCCATTTAGGCAAAATGCCTCATTAGTCATCTGAGGGGCTATGGTTCAGAAGAACCACGCTGGCTAAAAGACAGTTCATATTATCCTCTACAAGACTACTACTGTACAGAGTAATTGCGTCGGCTTTCATCTTGCGCGACCTAGCTTTTGCCATCCGGCGTCTTCAGTGTATTACTCTCGATAATTATCGGCACAATGAGCCACGGTAATCCGATGTCTCGATTGCCTGAACAGTAGCAATTCCACGATATGATTCAATTGGCAATATGATGCTCTTTTATGATCTTCGATAAATTTAAACTGCTATCAACTCATTGATCTGTACCTCTACCCACTGAAGTGATAGACTGCAGCCGGACAACCTCGTTCAAGCGCAACTGACCGGTGTCAAGGCTTCATCCCCGTTCGGGCTCGGTGGTAACTCCGTTGATAACGGCAAAACAGGAGCCCCAAGTTGCAGATCGGAAATGACTGAATCCGTAGTTATCGTTGGCTGATCTTGACGCTCCAATGCAGGAGACCCGACCCTTGGGTCCGTCCGCTAAAAGAATGCCTGAGTGATCACTGGCCAGCGATGCCTCTGATGCTCCCCACTATCTCTAGGAGGGGCAGGTCGTGCCCCTCCCATCGTCATCGTCCCGCTCATGGTGTGCTGGATGGACCTGCCTCCTCTCTCGTCCGGTCCGCCCTCGGAGCCTGCATCCACCTTGCTATAAAGCCCACCTTCACCCAGGCTGTTCAATTCTTCATTTTCTTGATCCGCCACTTATTACCTTACAATTCTTCTTCCCATACCCCTCGGAATCACCGTTCAATCGCACAATATGTCGAACCTCGAGCACACCAAGTAAGCTACTCCTCTCTAACTGGACGTCAGTTAAAAGTACATCGAATGTGAAGCACATGAGAGATTGTTGGAAACTAACAATCATTCTCCGCTCCTTAGGAAGGTCTACACCCTCAACACCGGTGACAAGATCCCCGCCGTTGGTCTTGGTACCTGGCAATCTAAGCCCAACGAGGTCAGAGAGGCCGTCAAGAACGCTCTCCTGAAGGGATACCGTCACATCGACACGTAAGTTAGAAGCAGCCACCAATTGCCGGACAATCTAGAGGAATCCAACCTGACCATTTCACAATCAGTGCCCTTGCCTACGGCAACGAAGCCGAGGTTGGACAGGGTATCAAGGACTCTGGTGTCCCTCGCGAGGAGATCTGGGTTACTACCAAGCTTGACAACACCTGGCACCACCGTGTCGCTGAGGGCATTGACTCCTCTTTGAAGGACCTTGGCCTCGACTATGTCGATCTCTACCTTGTCCACTGGCCCAGCAGCACTGACCCCAACGACCTGAAGAAGCACCTCCCCGACTGGGATTTCATTAAGACTTGGTACAGTCCCTCTTGATTACTGTAATTAGATTGTTGCTGACCCCGTTTAGGCAAGAGATGCAGAAACTTCCTGCCACCGGCAAGGTTCGTAACATTGGTGTCTCCAACTTCGGCATCAAGAACCTCGAGAAGCTCCTGAACGACCCCAGCTGCAAGATCGTCCCTGCTGTCAACCAGATCGAACTGCACCCCAACAACCCCTCCCCTAAGCTGGTTGCCTACAACACCTCCAAGGGCATCCACTCTACTGGCTACTCTTGCCTTGGCTCCACCAACTCTCCCCTCTACAAGGATGAGACCCTCCTCAAGCTGGCTGAGAAGAAGGGCAAGACTCCCCAGCAGGTTCTTCTCCTGTGGGGTGTGCAGAAGGGCTGGAGTGTTATCCCCAAGTCGGTCAGCAAGTCTCGCATCGATGCCAACTTCGAGCTTGATGGTTGGGAGTTGACCGCCGAGGAGATCGAGCAGCTGGACAACCTCAAGGACCGCTTCAAGGTCTGCGGTGATGACTGGCTCCCGGTCAAGGTTTTCTTCGGTGATGACGAGTAAATTATTATCTACGAGACTATGATGATATCCATGTGAAATAGAGCTATAGAAAGCAAAATAAAATGTACATATGCTTTAAATGCCCTTCTGCAAGTAACTTTGAGCACAAACATATAACATGTCATTTAAGGCACATCAGACCACCACATACAGCTGGATCTTTGTGATCTAGTCGCATATTTTTCTACCGATAAAGCGACGTTCCCTTGTCTTTTCGCACAAAAAAGAAGTGAAACCAGTCTTAGGGTGGGCCTGGTCCCGGTGGTTTACATATAGTTGATGGTCAAGAATTGCCATCGTGACTAAAATGGTCCAAAATTACATGAGGAGCACGTGGCGCTGGATCACATGCCGCACCGCCACCCCGGGCTGCTCCGTCATCAGGCCAGGTCCCTCCGTCATCCCCTTATCTCTCTTCCATCTACCATCATCCTAGGATGGTTATTCCATCTGAGAAACATCTATAAGTTCTTCCATTCGATTGCAGTCAGGATGCCGCCTTCTAACGGGCACCTGCTGCTCCCCAAGCTCTGGAGAGCAGCCAGGTGAGTCATTCGCCACTCGGATATACTTCATTCCGCTAACGGCCTCCAGGTCTGCCTACGAGAAGGCCTATAAGACTATCAAGTCTAGGTTCCCAGAGCAATTCCAACAAAGCTCACTTCGCCTTCAACCTGAGTATGTGCGTGTAGTCAACAGACACCCTACCAATCGGGCCGCTGCTATCCGTCAAGCTCGTGGTCGTCACTACTACTCCACCCGGGCAGCAAGCTCCTTCATCTCCTACATTCGCAGTGGCCTCCAGGGCGACCGTACTGCCTACAAGACATCTCGCGTCGCAGCTAATGTCAGTCGCTTGACCAAACATGCTCCTTTCGCCTCAACCCTTCGTCCGAATCTGACGGGCGGCACCCTGGGCCGCACAGCGGGTGGCTATGCAATTGGCGCCGGCCGTATCGGTGGCGCACGATACTTTTCCCATGGCGCAGCTGCCCCTGCCCAGGTCATCAATAATGTCTCTGTCGGTGTCCGGGCGTTCTTCCTCTCAGGACAGAAGGCTCGGTTTGATGGGATTGATCCAATTACCGGCAACAAGCGGTTCAAAACCGTGAGCAAGCTTCAAGATGAGGCTGAGCGCAAGATGGCTGCAATTCCTCGCACGGCTCCCGGCTCCTTTGTCGACTTCCAGATTTCCCCAACAATCACCGCTTTCGGCCTGCAGAAGAACCTGGTGGCGACTGGCGCTGGGGATGCCCAGACCATCAACTCAGACGGTCTCCTCGATTTCTTGTCCGCGGACTTTGCCCGTGCCCTCAAGGATCTTGCTGCTGTGCTCAATGACCTGAAGAGGCTATCTACACTGGGTGACCTGCCTATTCTGTTACATGATAAATCGACGATTAGAGTGCGGTTCCCTGGTTGCGATGCTAGTACTGTTGAACGTCTCTGTGACGAGGCTGGGGTCAAGAGGGGCAAGATAGTGCAGGATGAGGACTTCGACATTCGTACAGGTGCCGACCTCGCTCTCTTGTTTCCCTTTGCCCCTAGTGTCCCGGCTTCCCCTGACGTAAATGAGTACTTCTATCGCTCTGGGACCCTGAAGTCACAGACTCCTGAGGAGGTTGACTGGCATGCCATGATGTCCCCAGAGGATGTGTCCGAGGCATCCGAAGCATCTCCCGAACCCTACAAGCAGCCCTTCAATCAGCTCAGTTTTGAGGATGTTGCTATGTTTGGTGAGAACCCATGGATGTCTTCTCCATCAGGATATTCCAGCATCAATGTCAGCGAACTTGGCGATCGTGCCTTCTTTGCTGAAGTCGCAAGCATTGGTGTACCTGAGAGTGCCTCCGAGTACGACGGATCGGATGGAATACGCAAATTTATAGCAGAGTGTGATCTTGCTTCGCGACATTATGGGCAGGCTTTCTAGCCCGCTACACTTAAACATACCGACTTTGACAGTCATTTATTTCCTATTGTTGTGATTCTATTTGAAGCATATAATTCATTATTCTCAACCCAAAGTGCCTGATGACGACAACAAACGAAAATGATTAAAAAAAGATTTATCTATAGCTTTCTGTTGAAGAGGCCTACATATATCCCAACAATCATTACTTCATATATAGGAGAGAATTAGTTTAATTAATTTTGATCTTTTTTCCCTGGAATTTCCTGAAAATATGACCGATCTTCCTACAATGGATTGCCTCACCTTTCTAATGGAGATTCGGACCGTTAGACCGGATGGCTATATCTTTGATTAAGCCAATTTGATGCCAAATGCAACCAAACATAGTCAAGCACCTTCCTTTCGTGAGGGAATGGCATTGAAATTTTCCCGTGCCTACTCCCCTCAATATTATGCAGGACCCTGAACTAATGCACCTGAAACCGTCCTCAATATAAACAATTTATCCGTAGATTCGTTAGAGGAGCGGACATAGCCCTGTAGAGATGAAGATCGACCGGATCAGATCCCTTTCGGCTACGGAGGGTCCGTCTTGAGTCACGGAACAGTTGCCCTCATCACGACAATGTCCCTGCCATGATCAATTAGTCCATTTATTCAGGCGTCTTGGCCTGTTACGGATGAAAATGTTTAGCCGGATTTACTTTGTCACTCCTTGTTGGTTTCGGTAATGGATAAACGCGTCTATGGAAATGGATTTGATATAAAATGGGCCGGTATGATTGATACGACTTCATTATCAGTAGTTAAAGCCAAAACACAAACTCACTTAGTTCGCTCAGTACCAGGATATCTCATAGTTATGCACTCCGTCAACATGCGAGCCATCTGGCCCCTCGTTTCTCTTTTCTCTGCCGTCAAGGCCCTCCCCGCCGCAAGCGTAACTGCTTCAGCGTCCGTTGCTGCATCGAGCTCTCCGGCGCCGACGGCCTCTGCTACTGGCAATCCCTTTGAGGGATACCAGCTCTATGCGAACCCCTACTATAAGTCACAAGTGGAGAGTTCGGCCATTCCATCATTGTCTGCTAGTTCGCTGGTCGCGCAGGCGAGTGCTGCTGCAGATGTGCCTTCGTTCTACTGGCTGTGAGTATCCATACAGAAGAAGTTTATGTGCTTAGGCTGATGTTATGATACTCAATTTTCAGGGACACGGCCGACAAGGTACCTACAATGGGTGAATATCTGGAAGACATCCAGACACAAAATGCTGCTGGAGCGAGCCCCCCAATTGCTGGTATCTTCGTTGTCTATGACCTACCAGATCGGGATTGTTCTGCCTTGGCTAGTAATGGGGAATACTCGATCAGTGATGGCGGCGTGGAGAAGTACAAGGCGTATATTGATTCTATTCGGGAGCAGGTCGAGACGTACTCGGATGTTCAGACTATTCTGATTATTGGTATGCTTGCTTTGACTGATGGATAGACGATGAGCTGGAATAGTACTGACTGGTCCTTACAGAACCCGATAGCTTGGCTAACCTGGTGACGAATCTCGATGTGGCTAAATGCGCCAATGCTGAATCCGCTTACCTGGAATGCACCAACTATGCCCTTGAGCAACTGAATCTGCCGAACGTGGCTATGTATCTTGATGCTGGTACGTCTTGTCCATTGAGGATACTGAGCATCGCTAACCGTACCCGCAGGCCATGCGGGATGGCTGGGATGGCCTGCCAACATCGGTCCCGCGGCGCAACTCTACGCATCGGTGTATAAGAATGCGTCGTCCCCAGCTGCTGTTCGCGGCCTCGCCACCAATGTAGCTAACTTCAACGCCTGGAGCATCGACACTTGCCCCTCTTATACATCGGGCAACGATGTCTGTGATGAGAAAAGCTACATCAATGCCATTGCGCCGGAGCTGTCTAGTGCTGGGTTTGATGCCCACTTCATTACCGATACGGGTGAGTGATACTGAGTGTTATACATAGCGACATGTTCAATGTGACTCACTGGATTAGGTCGCAATGGAAAGCAACCCACCGGTCAGAGCGCGTGGGGTGACTGGTGTAATGTCAAGGATACCGGCTTCGGTGCTCAGCCGACGACCGATACTGGAGACGAACTGGCTGATGCCTTTGTCTGGGTCAAGCCGGGCGGAGAGAGCGACGGGACATCGGATACCAGCTCTTCTCGCTACGATGCGCATTGCGGATATAGCGATGCCTTGCAGCCTGCTCCGGAGGCCGGAACCTGGTTCCAGGTGGGTGTTGGCTGCAAAATGTTGAAGGTATCATGCTAACACTATGTTCTAGGCTTACTTTGAGCAACTTTTGACCAACGCCAATCCTTCCCTTTGAGTCGATCACTTAGTAGATGGATATACTGAATGTTGGAAGTAGATCTTCAGGGTGGTATAGGGGAAGTGATGCAATAGATCGTTGGAACAAGTGGGCAGGATCCCAATGAGAATGCAAATCTAAAGCTGTCTCCTTAAATCTTTTCCATGGGTGCCCACATTTTATCTTAGTAGTTGTCCTCTGGTGAAGCACAGCATGAGTAGTCACAAACGCTGTAGTGAAAGCATGCAGGGCGGTGAACTGCACCATGAAGAATCTCACCGCCAACCCCGCGCTAAACTGGAAGAAGGCGATCCACTGATAACAGTCCGGCTGGATGGAGAAGAAACACACACTGCATCTCCCAACGCTAAACCACCCTCATTATCGCCCGTGAACACCGCATCTGCTTTTCTTCCGGAGACGTGTCTATTGGATGTTTTAAAGAGGATTGTTTCAACTGTACAGTTCTGGGGGCTCTCCTGCACTGGAGTTGTCCGACCGGCTCTCTCAGCAACTGCTACAGGCCAAGCACGAATACTAGTCTTTCTTAATTACATTCCCCTCGGTGGAGTCTACTAGTGGGAAGCAACCATGGAGGACTTCAACAGCGAAACCGACAGTGACTACACTAGCTACTGGAGAGATTGGGTGAGTCTACCAATCCCTACGTGAGTTTCTGTGCTGGACGGGGACGACGGCGGCTTTGCAAGTGAAGGGAGATGCGTGGCTGCGCGCCTGCGCTCAACGATGTCGTTGCGGCTGGTGAGGGATAAGGAGTCAGAATAACACGGTCTCATGCGTTGAATTCTTCTCTGCTGCAATGCTTTTGCTCAGCTTCTCGGATTTCAACTGCGCACCTGCTTCTGCTCCCTCACTTCTAAGCAATGATGGCTTTACCTACTAGTTTTGCTAGTGAGGAGTCGGGCTCGTCACTTGCTACGCTACGGCCTTCCATCGAAGCTCGACCTCGTCCCCGGCCTGAAGTACATATGCGCTCTTCGTCTAGTTTTTCATACGGCGTGATACTGCCGCAGAAACATACTGACTATATTCATCAGTTCATCTCCTCTCGTGGAAACGAATACTTCTGCGAGATCGACGAAGATTACTTGACCGATCGCTTCAACCTCACTGGCCTGAACACCGAGGTCGCTTACTATCAGTATGCCTTGGACCTTGTGACGGACGTGTTTGACCTCGATGCGGACGACGACCTGCGCGAGCAAATCGAAAAGTCGGCGCGTCACCTCTATGGTCTGGTCCATGCCAGATACATTGTCACAACCCGCGGTCTTGCCAAGATGGTATGTCTTACACTAGGGGGTTTTGTGAATGGTATATGAAGGGATTTCTGACAAGGCAATCTAGGTCGAGAAGTACAAGCGCTGCGATTTCGGCAAATGCCCCCGTGTCATGTGTGACGGACACCCCCTCCTGCCTATGGGCCAGCACGACGTTGCCAACCAGAGCACTGTTCGCCTGTACTGCCCCAAGTGCGAGGACATCTACAACCCCAAGTCGTCCCGTCATGCTTCTATCGACGGCGCTTACTTCGGCACCTCGTTCCATAGCATGCTCTTCCAGGTGTATCCTGCTTTGCTTCCCGAGAAGAGCATTCGCCGCTATGAGCCCCGCGTCTTCGGTTTCAAGGTGCACGCCATGGCTGCCCTTGCGCGCTGGCAGGATATCTTCCGGGAGGAGACGAAGGCGTCCCTTCGCGAAGCCGGTGTGGAAGCCAAATACATCGAAGATGACAATGAGGAGGAAGAGCTAGATGACGACGACGAACCTATCTCTGAGACCAAAGAAGAGAGAGTCGCCGGCGATGCCGCCTCTGGCCGTATGGATCTTGGCAACTGATTGACGCTCTCTGCATGATATTATGCTTCATCGGAGTTACCTCATTTTCCTACCATATCCACCTGGCATGGGCGCAACATCATGAACTTGCATTTAAATGCGCGTCTGAGTCGTTTTTCTCCGGTTCTGATAATGCTTTTCTTTTCCCTTTACAAACGTCTTCCGACTAACGGCTCCTGAAATCCCGGGCGTATGACGGGTTCTTACAATTTCATTACTTCATGTGCACTGCAATAATGATCACGAACACTGGTGGGCGTTGGAAGTTTTGAAGATGGCGGGTCTGTTTTCCTCTGCTTCTAATGTGTACTAGTTTATTCCTCGGGTTTTTATTCCCGACCTCAAGATCACTCAGACATGGCGAGTGCGACTCATATGTAGAATAACCTTAGTTTCCGTCTGGAACCGAGACAGAGGGCTCATAATGAACTGCATGCTCGTCATTCATCCATCCATTACTTCTACGTACTCTGCCCGCACACTACTTCAATTAGTCTAACTACTCACCTCTCACTTTCTCAACCGCGAACGCAATCGCCCTCGCCAACTCCTCTCCCTTCTCCCACGCATCATCATGCTCCCCTTTAATATCCAACATCTCCACCACCCTCTCCCCTCTCCCACTTCCACCCACCCACTCCTCCTCCAGATGCTTCTTCATCGCCTCCCTCTGCGTAGGATCCACGAGACTATCACCCCCGGAATACGCCAACACCGCAACCAATCTCTTCTCCTCACCCTCTCCATCCCCAATATCACGCCACCCATCACTTACTCCCTCCCCACCCCTCCCCAAAGCAGGCGACACCTCATCCCAAACACCCTCATCACTCCCAAACGCTCCCTCGATAAAATCTTGATACGCACTCACACTCCGATGCGTATCCCTCAACAACCGAAGGTCATAAATCCCCGCCATTCCCACAATCCCTGCCGGAGGCATTACTTCCTTCAACTGAGCCCGGAACCTCCCCATAACAGATTGAAATGCCAGCGTAGCACCACAACTATGCCCTACCAGGATGTAATTACTCCCAATATTGTATTTCCCTTGCAGGAAGGACAGCGCGGACTGGACATCGGAGATGTGATCTGGGTGCTTTGCGGCACGGAAATGTGTGGGCTCTGTGGTTTGGGGGTCTTGAGGGTGGGATGGGTGTGGGCTGAGACGGTAGGAGATTGAGGCGATGCCTTTGAGGTGGGAGAGGGTTGTGGTGTCGCCGGTGGTAAAAGTGTCCAGGGCTGGGTTTAGGTAGTTCAAGGCTGTTTGGGTTGGGTCGCGCCAGGCGCCGCCGTGGATTAGACTGTGGTTTGATTGGTTAGATTTTGTATGGGAATATAGGAAGAGTTGAATGGGAGAGGTTTACATCACCCAGTAGCCTTCATTATTGTCGTTGTTGAGGGTGGCCACTGTGACAGTTTGAAGGACGTGATCGGTGCCGTAGGGGAAGGTTTCGAGGGAGGGCAGAAGTGTCATGGGTTTGGAGGAGGGGTATTTTTGGCCCATTGCTGCAATTGTTTGCTCTGTGATATGAGATGAGGTGCTCATGGCTATGGAAGAGAGATGCTTGATTGTCCAACGTAGAGGTGCTGGGTTAGTGAGGGGTCAGTCGTAGCGTTAGTTGGCTTGGGAATCTGCGGATGTAACTCCGTAGATAAGGTCATTGTTAGTGTTCCCCAGAACCCGGATACGGCATCATTACGTGGAGTCTTTTCAGCATGTTTGCTCCCAATTGGAAGTCTATAACCTCATGAGGGCATAGTTTTAGTGAAATAGATATCCTCTGGCAGAAACGATGCTTTTGCGTGTAAAGTTATGCAAGGGTGATTGAAAGAGCCCAAAAAGGCAAGCGGACCGGCGGCTCGTATGGGGCTTGGCACGCTAGCCGTGTTGGGGGCTAGGCGGTGGGAAATGCTGAATTCCATCCACACAAACCTCGCCGCCGACTGCCATCTCATTGTCGCTGTCTGTATAGCAATTCCCAGGCACATATTCAACATGGCGGAGTAAGTCTTTCTGGCCCTATCAGTCTCATCTAGGGGTCTGCATGCTAATGCTCGCTATAGGAAAGAAGTCCCTCTCACGGCCGTCAAGGTCGAGGCCTTGGTATGCACACCATGAAAATCTCCCCCCCACCCGCCTTTTTCACGGCCGGCGACGATACTTACAGCGTGGCATACAGGTGGTGATGAAGATCATCAAGCACGGTTCTCAAGCCTTCCCGACGACTGCGACCGGTTCGATCGTCGGTATGGATGTCGACGGTACCCTGGAGATCACCAACAGTTTCCCTTTCCCCGTCGTTGAGGTGCCCGCCGAATCGCACTTTGACAATGCTGCTCCCAACCCGGCTGCTGCTGCCCCCCGCGCGAAGGCCAACGCAGCTTACGAGGCTGAGATGGTCCGTATGATGCGCGAGGTTAACGTTGACGCCAACAACGTTGGTTGGTACACTAGCGCCAACATGGGCAACTTCATCAACATGAACGTGATCGAGAACCAGTTCTTTTACCAGAAGGAGATGAACGAGCGCACGGTCGCTCTGGTGCACGACGTCAGCCGCAGCGCACAGGGAAGCCTGAGCCTGCGCGCCTTCCGCCTGTCTCCTAAGTTCATGGCGGCTTTCAAGGAGAACAAGTTCACTTCCGAGGAGTACGTTGATAATACTATTGCCCCGGAGGGATGATAGACGCATGCTAATTGGTTGTTTTTGGCAGGCTCCAAAAGTCCAACCTCAGGTACCAGGACATCCTGGTCGAGCTCCCCGTTGAAATCCACAACTCTCACCTGATCACCTCCTTCATTCACCAGCTCCAGACTCCCACTCAGGCGACTCCCTCCGATCTCCCCCCGTCCCTGGCCGCGTTGGAGTCGTCTCAGTACGCCAAGTCATCCGTGCTGGCGCCCAACTTCGACAACCTCTCCCTCAGCATCGACCCGTTCCTGGAGAAGAACTGCGACCTTCTGCTTGACAGCATCGAGGTGCACCACACCGAGACCAACAACTTCCAGTACTACCAGCGGTCGCTCGCCCGTGAGCAGGCCAAGATCACCGCGTGGCAGAACAAGCGCAAGACCGAGAACGCCAGCCGCGCGGCTCTCAAGCAGCCCCTGCTCCCCGAGGACGAGTGGCAGCGGCTGTTCAAGCTGCCCCAGGAGCCCAGCCGCCTGGACAGCATGCTCAACAGCCGCCAGGTTGAGCAGTACGCTCGCCAGGTCGACAGCTTCGTGTCTGCGACAACGGGTAAGATGTTTGCCGTCAAGGGCAACCTACTTCCGGGTGAGACGGCCAAATAGATGGTGAGGAATGGAACGGAAAATAGGAAAGGCGGGCGATGATGATTAGTTCTTGGAATTGCATGACCTTACGGCGTAGGGAGGGAAAATTCTGTATCTGACGGGCTGTTAATATGACTCCTGTTTGCTTCTTCCATGAGAATTAGAACGGGCATGACTTGATACCATACCTCCTTACTTGACTGTCCTGCTGCTGCTGCTGCTCTTTACTGCTATTGTATTCATTAAAGAGAGCTGATCCAGCCCTAATTCCGGCTTAGGGCAAAGCCTGCTTCTGGCACGTGGTGATGACCTCATCGATAACGAGATAGATAACTAAACTACTAGATAAGATCATGCCTCACTACCATGGACATACATAGACTCAATTTCTAGCTTCAATAGATGATGCATCATGTACAATACCAACACTGACATCTGGCTGGTAAGCCCCTGCAATTCACATAGAGATACAAAAAGAAACTAAAAGAGAAGCACAGTCCGGCGCCTTCGCCGTCCTAATAGTCGACTTCCTCGTCTACCCCATCGACACGCTCAAAACCCGCATCCAATCTCCCAATTACAATAGAATATACAAGGATGCTACAACAGGAGCGATTAACCGTAAACTTCTCTTCCGGGGACTATATCAGGGCGTAGGGAGCGTCATTCTCGCTACATTACCTGCTTGTATGTCCCCAGACCCAACATACACCCCAAACTCATCCATATTGAATAGTATCCTTGATATTGACATAAACAAAATAGCAGGAGCATTCTTCACAACCTACGAAGGCCTAAAACACACCCTCACCACCAACCCGAGCACACAATCCCTCCTCCCCGTACCAATAATCCACTCCCTTTCCTCCTGCACCGCCGAATCCGTCTCCTGCTTCATCCTTACCCCCGCGGAGGTAATAAAGCAGAATGCACAGGTCTATACTAACTCCAACCCCTACCCCCGAACCGGCCCCAATGACCCAACCAAAAACCCACCAAGTAGAACCACAAACATAACCCTCCTCACGCTTCGCAAATTCCGCCATCGGCCAACTTCCCTCTGGAGTGGATACAGTGCTCTCCTGGGACGGAATCTCCCTTTCACGGGGTTGAACTTTCCGCTGTTTGAGTATCTGAGGGGCCATTTGTCGGGGTATTTACTTCGTCGGGGGGATGGAGGAGGGAATGGGGATGGGGATGGGGATGTGCTGGGACAGTTTGGGGCTGTGCAGAGGGCTCTTATTACGGGGGTTTCTGCGGCTGTGGCGGGGACGGTTTCGTCTGTTGTGACGACGCCGGTGGATGTGGTTAAGACGAGGATGATGTTGGGGGCTGGTAGTTCTACTACTAGTGGGAGTGGGGATGGGGTTGCGGATGGGAAGAAGAAGGGAGGGGCAAGTGTGTGGGCTGTGGGAAAGAAGGTGTATAGAGAGGAAGGGGTTAGAGGGCTCTTCAAGGGAGGGGCAATACGGTCTGTGTGGACGGCTATTTCGTTTGGGGTGTATCTTTGTGTGTATGAGGGTGGGAGAGGGTTTTTGGAGAATAGACGGAAGGAGAAGGAGATGTCATCCTAATCGGGGGGAGGTGTACAGCTACAGTGTAAAGAGTATATGTGATAAAGTCGTCAAAATCCATCACTCTGGTCTATCCTTCGAAGCAGAGTCCATTCTCAGTTAGTTAATCGTACATCATAGCCAAATCATATATTCCTTCAATGGCAAACATCGCTTCATGTCGTTCATCATTCCGTTCGTAAAGTAAAGAAACATCCTCATATCGGTACTCTAAGCCACCAGCTCAACCCATATTGGTCAGTCTCTTGAACCAATTCGGCATCCTGGGCCCATTGACTGGCGGTGCATAACGATCGTCGTACGACCTCATGCCACGGACCCGTTCGTAATCAGCGCTGCCTGAACTACGCTCAGACCGTCTAGCCTCGCGCTTTCGCGCTCGTAACTCGTCGATTTCCTGATCCGTCAGGCCGGGATATCTTGCTCGTCGTCGGGCCCGACGCCGCAGCTCACGTCGTGCCTCCTCGTCCGAGGAGACCGAGTTCGCCTGAGCCGGCTCACCTGGACCAGGCGGCATGTCCACCACGGTGGCCACGACTGGTGGTGGTTCAGGCGGGTCGCTCGCTTGCGAATGCACCCAGGACGAAGTTTTATCCTTGCGTCCTCCGGACATCATCGGTGGTCCGCGCTCCGGTTCTGGAGCCCTGGACTTCCGACGTTTGGGCCTCACCCCCTCTTCTGTAGACCGTTCCGGACGATAAGCCCTCTCGCCGTCGTAGCCGCCGAGATAGAAGTCTCGGGCAGCTCTGTCATCGACAGGGTGACGAGAGGATCGACGTTTGGACCGGGGCTCGTACGCGGCGGCTTCTTGCATCTCTGCCTCCCTCCGCCGTCTGCGTTCGCGCCGTTCTGCTGCTCTGGCTTCGGCTTCGGCCTGCTCTTCTGCCTCGCGGGCTTCCGCCTCTTCTCGAGCACGGCGCTCTTCACGAGCTGCTCTACGAAGCCTTCGTTCTTCCTGGCGCCTTGCTTCCCTCTCTTCCTCCTCTCGGAGCATTCTTTCCTGCATCTCCCGCTCACGGGCTCTCTCTCTTTCCTTCCGTCGAGCACGTCTTTCTTCGGCTTCGCGCCAGTCGCTCTCACGAAGCTGGTCAGATGGCGCCTGCCGAGAGGATCGTTTTGCTCGACGGGCTGCCCGTCTAGCTTCAACTTCGTCCATGTCGGTTTCCGGGAACCCACCTACTGGACCGCCTTCGGTAACAAAGCCGTCCAGCTCAGCCTCTTGTTCGGCACGCCTTCTGCGAGCTTCGCGCCTTGCACGCCGTTCCTCTCGCTCTGGCTCTGTCATGTATCGGGCATCTTCATCACGATGAGACCGGGACTTTCGGCGCTCCGGAGGGTCCGGACGAGCGGTTTTCCGCAAAGAGCCGATGAAGCCCATGAGACCAGTGGACTCTGGTTTCTTGGGAGCAGTACTTGACCGTCTCACGCGTCGCTCTCTTGGTGCTTCCACGAAAGCGATATCTTCCGGTCCCGAGAACACTTCAGCATCATCATAATGCTCTTCTTGCCTGGACCGAGACTAAGAACAAAGTTAGCATCATGGAAGAATTTCCCAGATGATATCACTGGAATCCTCGCTTACCTTTCTCCTCGAACGTCTGTCGGAGTGCCTCGATCCCCTTGAGCCCTCCTTCGGGGCATCGATGTCGTCCCGGTCTACCATGACGATGTCCTCGTCTTCGACCGCATACGGATCAGGAGCGCCTAAGAAAGCTGTTAGCAGCGGCACAGGAAGTTTCAAGAGAGTACATACGAGATCTTCTACGAGATTCATGACGTCTGTCTCTTTCTCTCCGAGAGGAGCCGTGCACACCCATCATCCTGGCAGCCTTATCCGGCATATCCCGGCTATCGTCGGGTGGAGGACTGGGGAACCCAGCGTCCTCCATGCCCACGGATGGACGTCTCGAAGTAGCCCTGGATGCGTGTGTTCCGTGTCTTCGACTGGACTTTGTCCTACTAGGCGGTGGCGGCGTGCCCAGGACAAAATCAGCGAGAGTCATACCTCGGCTATTGCGCTTATCCTTGTCAGAGGTAGACTTCTCTCCCTCGTTCTCAAGATCCCTAGACTTTGGTTGCCTGGTCGATCTCGACCTGACCATAGGCGGGGGTGACTGTTCACGTTCACGTTCACGTTCCCTTTCCCGCCTACGCCTATGCTCCCTAGTGCTGGGCTGCTTTTGAGGCGTGGCACCCCAAAATCCCCAGGATGCCGAACCGGGAGTGCGCTCAACACGAACACGCTCCTTCCTGGCCGGCTTCTCCAGTTCCGGCTCAGCAGGCTCTGGTGGAGGCGTAGGAGGGCCACCCGCGCCTACATCGATTTCTGCAGCTGCTTCTCCAGTCTCAATATCGGCAGGGGTTGGTTCCACGACCGGGGCTGCCTTTTCTAGACTGGATACCTTCTTGCTCTTTTTCTTCGGCTTTTCAGGCTTGGGAGCAGGTGCTTCGTCGACCACCGGCTCTAATTCCCGCGTTTGCTCGATCGGAGGCTCTGGAGCAGGAGCTGGGACAAATTCGGGTTCGGGTTCAGCTACTGGCTCGGGCTCAGGTTCAGGAGCTGGCTCCGGCTCCTGCACCGGCTCAGGAATTGGTTCTGGCTCAACAACCTTCTTCTTTTTCTTTTTCTTTTCAGTTTTCGAGATGGGAACAGGTGCGGGGACTGGCTCGGGCTCCGGCTCGGGTTGAGGTTCTGGCTCTGGTTCTGCAACAGGCTCAGGGACCGGCTCAGGCACGGGCTCAGGAGCCGGTGGTTCAAGCACAGGCTCAGGAACTGGTTCAGGTACCGGTTCTGGCACAGGTTCGAGTACAGCAGTCTTTGCCTTCTTTTTCTCCTTCTTCTTTAATTTCTTCGACAAGAGCACCGGCTCAGGCTCGGGCTCGGGCTCAGGTTGCTGAGGCTCAGGTTCCGGCTCAAACTGAAGTTCCGGCTCTCGGGCAGGCGGCTCTGGGGCAGGTGGAGGGGGTATATCGTAAAAGTCCTCGTCGTCAAATGCGTCTGGGAAACTGCCCGGGACCAAATCCCTAGAGGGCTTTTTAAATTGAACCGGTTCGGGGTCAAAGAATTCGACAGGCTCGGGTTGCGGGGGAGCAGGAGGTTCTTCTGGGGGTGGGGCAGGCTCTTCCTTGGCTACCTTGTCCTTTGACTTCCCCTTCTTTGCTTTCTCCAAAGTTTTGATTCGCTCTGAGACGGACAATTTGGCTGATGACTTGGTCTTCGAGGTGACAACAGGAGACTTCGCTGGCGGCGCGGCTGGCGCGGGTGGTTCGTCGACAACTGGCGGGATTGGCGCTTCGGGCGCCTCGGGCATCTTTGAATCGTCAACGTCAATGAGTAAGTCATCCTCTGCAGGATGACTTGGTACAGGTTCGGGTTCGAGCTCGGGCTCTGGTGCTGCTTCTATGGCTCTGGTCTTCTCTGATGACTTTTTCTTCGTCGTCTTGGATTTGCCCATAGTTGCAGCACCGATGGTGGCCCACCAACCCATGCCACTCTTAGGTGTCTCTTCCTCCTTGTAACCCTTCTTGTTACTCTTAGAAGGCTTGCTGTCGTAGTCATCCCAGAGAGGCTGGTCGGGGACTTGGTCAGTAGGTACATACCCCTCTGGCTCGGCAGACCATCCCAAAGATGGAGGTGTTGGTGCGGGCGGTGGAGGCTCAGCAGCGATCTTGCTCTTCTTCTTCTTCTTCTCCTTCGAAGCATTCCATATTCCCCAGCTTTCCTCCTCATAAGTCTGTTCTGTGACCACTTCAGGGACTGGCTCGGACGCAGGCTCTGGCTCTGGCTCCCAAGTCGGCTCTGGCTCTGGTTCTGGCTCCAATTCTGGGGCTGGAGGTGGCGCCGGCTCTTCTTGAATAGGTTCAGGTACTGGCTCAGGCTCGGGCTCTCTAGGCGGTTCAGCATTAGGATCAGGAAGTTCGAAATCCTTGCCCGGGATAGGAAGTCCGTTCTTGATCAATGATTTCTCTCGTTTCTTCCGGTCTTTGGATGAGAGATTGTGCCAGTTGTTATAGAGAGGACTGTCTGGTATCTCTGGAGCTTTAACCTCAGGCTCAGGCTCAGCTTCCGGGATTGGCTCAGGTTCAGCTGCTGGCTCAGGCTCCGGCTCGGGCTCAGGCTCAGGTTCTGGTTCAGGTACTGGCTCAGGCTCAGGCTCTTTGGGGGGTTCAGCATTGGGATCAGGAAGCTCAAAATCTTTACCAGGAATAGGAAGTCCGTTCTTAATCAATGTTTTCTCTCGTTTCTTCCGGTCTTTGGACGAGAGTGTGTGCCAGTTATTGTAGAGGGGACTGTCTGGTATCTCAGGAGCTTTAACCTCAGGTTCAGGCTCAGCCTCCGGGATTGGATCAGGTTCAATTACCGGCTCGGGTTCAGGCTCTGGTTCGGGTTCTTGAACTGGCTCCGGCTCCGGCTCCGGCTCTGGCTCTGGCTCTGGCTCAGGATCTTTGGGAGGCTCAGCATTGGGATCAGGAAGCTCAAAATCCTTGCCCGGGATAGGAAGACCATTCTTAATCAATGTTTTCTCCCGTTTCTTCCGGTCTTTGGATGAGAGATTGTGCCAGTTGTTGTAGAGAGGACTGTCTGGTATTTCAGGAGCCTTGATCTCAGGCTCGGGTTCAGGTTCAGGTTCAGGCTCAGGTTCAACTATCGGCTCGAGCTCGGGTTCAGGAGCTGGCTCCGGTTCTTGAATTGGCTCGGGCTCAGGCTCGGGCTCGGGCTCCTTAGGGGGCTCAGCATTTGGATCAGGAAGTTCAAAATCTTTGCCAGGAATAGGAAGTCCGCTCTTGATCAACGATTTTTCACGCTTCTTCCGGTCTTTAGATGAAAGTGTATGCCAGTTATTATACAGAGGGCTGTCTGGGATTTGAAAGGCGGGCTTTTCGGGCTCCGGTTCAAGCTCGGGCTCTGGTTCAACAACTGGTTCAGGTTCAGGTTCAGGTTCAGCTATCGGCTCGGGCTCTGGCTCAGGAGCTGGCTCAGGTTCTTGAACTGGCTCGGGCTCGGGCTCTGGTTCCTTGGGGGGCTCAGCATCTGGATCAGGAAATTCAAAGTCTTTGCCAGGGATAGGGAGGCCTTTCTTGACAAGTTGCTTTTCTCTTTTCTTCCTGTCTTTGGAATTAAGCGTGAGCCAGTTATTATAAAGAGGGTTATCCAGGAATTCCAAGGCTGGCTTCTCGGGCTCGGGTTCGGGCTCAGGTTCAACGACTGGTTCAGGTTCAGGCTCCGGCTCCACGGGATCAGGTTGTGGCTCTGGCTCCGGCTCCAGCTCAAAGATCGCGCCCTTCTTCTTCTTTTTCTCCTTCTTTGGGAGATCCCAGCCCGATGACCAATCATCTTCAGGCGGCGGATCAGCGGCGGCAGCAGGTTCGGGGGCGGGAGGCTCCTCAAGAAGAGGCTCGTCGGCCTTCTTCTTTTTCTTTTCTTTCTTGATAGAGGTTGCTCCCCAACCCCAGTCATCATCAGCAAATTCCGGCTCCTTATTCTCTTTAACAGCCGGCCAGGCGTTATCCGGTTTTGGCTCTTCTGCAAGAAGGTCGGGCGTCGGCTCCTCGAGCCCCTTCTTCTTGTTCTTTTTCTCTTTCTTGGTCACGGGAAATCCCCAGTCGTCCTCTGGCTTGCTTTCTTCCGGAGCAGGAGGGACATCGTTGGCAGCCGGGGTACTTCCAAGATCCGCACCAAAGCTGAACCCAACGGAGGTGTTCGACATGCCGTTGGTGCCGGAGAAGGACCAAGGGTTAGTATTCTCTTTTGGCTTGTCGTCTTTCATGCCGTTCAGGGTGTTAAGACCCCATTTATCACCAGATCCCCAATCTTGACCCCAGCTCCCAAAGTTGAAGCCCGTCCCTGGCGCTGCAGGAGGCAGACCTAAGTCTAGTTGCGGCGCGCTGTCGTTCAAGCTTACGTCTTGGAACCCGTTGGACGCCGGTTCGGGCGGGCTAGGGTCGGCGCCCTGTTGATAAGTTAGGAGATTTATCACCTATATCGCAGTGACGATGCATAACATACCTTGCCTTTCTTCTTCTTTTTCTTGCTAGTCGTTGTGGCAAAACCCCAGCCATCATCACCGTTGGCATTAGTATCATCTGCCCAGCTGAGGTCGGGGGGAGCGGCGGCAGCGGCGGCAGCTTCGGCAGCGCGCTTCTCCTCCTCTTCCTTGGCCAGCCGTTCTTCCTCCTCTTTGGCCAATCTCTCCTGTTCTTCCCTGGCCTGCTGTTCCTCTTCTTCCCGCTTCCGTTGCTCTTCTTCTTCCTTCAACTTTTCCTCTTCCTCCTGCTTTTTCTTCTTCTTACTCTTCTTGGTGCTTGTCGTATTCCACGCATCCCACTCGTCATCTTCTCCATTATTACCGTCGCCGTTCCCATCTTGGCCATTATCATCTCCTCCATTGCCGCCACCTCCTGAATCGCCTCCTTCATTTCCGCCGGTATCACCATTCTGCTCATCTCCACCACCATCATCTTGCTTGTCGCCTCCACTTTCCTCAGGCGGCGGTGTGCTCTGTTGCTGGGGTTGCGCAGCCGGCTTCTTCTTCTTCTTCTTTCCTGCTCTTTCCCGAATGCCCGGAGTAGCCTCAAAATCGAATAGCCGCGATGCGCTTTTACACTCCGACCTATCTGTAGTCTGTGAGGGCGCAGAGTCTTGGATAAGACTCTTCCGCTGGGCTAAGGGAGCAAGTGTGGCGTAATCTGGAGGTAGATCCTTGTTCGCATCGTCATATGTGGGCGGTGGTGCATCATAGCCTTCGGGCTCGAAGGCATGGATGTCAGCTTCCAGAGCCAGCGATGATTTGTAGCCTAGCTTTCGCCGTAATATTGTATCCTGCTTACATATCTAGCCATTAGCAGCGGGAACAGCGAATCTCTTGTGTAGTACTTTTTTTTTTGCCAGTGAGTTCACGGTGAACTTACCTTATTTTGATGTTCCACCACTTGGAGGACTTTGGCGTCATGCACACCACCATCCTTGGTGTATTCTCCGGACCCAAGACACCCCGAAGTTAAACCATCTATCTGCAGCCAGCCATTTGACAGGTCGCTAGTTTCCTTCCCACGTTTGTCGAATCCCGGCCGGGAAGGGACATGTACCCTCAGTGGAGATACAAATTCATCACGAGGGAGTGTCCGCATAACTTCCATCCTGGAAAAGCCACCGACACTCGTCTGACGACCCGCGACTGCTCTATGCCAGGCGCATGGATATCAAATGGCTATCAGCCCCAATTGAGGCAGCAGGCGTTCGAGCAACGGAATCGGCGTACAAATAGGTGACAGCGCAGGAGAGATGTTGCAAAGACGACGGAGACTTGAAAGTGGGAAGTCCCCAGGAGTATTGGTAGTTACACCACGCGAAACGTCACGTCAGATGCCAGGCAGACCGACACTTGCGATAAGGACTGGAGATTGGGTAGGATAGGAGTCGATCGAACTCAGAAGGAATGTCAGAGGAAGTGAGGAGATCTAAATTGACGAAAGAAGTTCAGCAGGGAGAAGCAGGGATAGGAGGACAGGCCATGGAATTCATGACCCTAGGGCGGTGGCAGACGTGAAAAAAAGGGAAGGAGCGCGATTCTGCGGAAGATCCTCCCAGGCGAAAATGGGATTGGATGATTTGGTATGCGATGGACAGTGAGGAATGCGAACTAGTATACGTCGGGAAAATCAGCGGTCGCTCGAAGGTGAGTATGGAACAAGCAAGTAGTAGTCGAGGACGGGTTACGGCAGTGCCACCAAAAGTAAATAAAAACTTCGAGGGGAAAAAAAAAATGTGAGACTGCAAACCTTTTTTTCTATTTTGCTCAAGTTACAAGCACCTCTTTGATCTGATTGATCGGCGTATACGGAGTAAAAGCGTGTGATTTGATTCTCCGAGGCCCAGTAGCGTAACCCGGTGGCTGGGGAAGTGGTAATGAGCCAACGGGGCAGCGGGATCGCTGGGAAGATGCCGATATAGTCGCACGCCGCGGGAGGTGAGAGCCGGTGGATGTGGATAGAGAGGCGAGTATTATTGGCGCATCCAATGCAGCGACCAACGAGGGAGGACTGAGAGAAGTATCTAGTAGTAGTACTGTGTACACTGTACAGAGATGGGATGATGAAGGGAGTCACGCAGGCACAAGCCAGTCACACACCCGGTTGGGTTGCGCGCAAGGACGGGGGCGGTGGGCAGATGCTCCTATCGATAACGAATGCGCCCCTCCTTCGCGGTGGGAAAGCGTTGGCGCGATCGACGAGCCGGACAATGAAGGTATGTACTTTAGTGGTGGTATGTACTTCAGTACATACCCTGACTTGCAGTGGTGCGCATATGCCTCTGGGCGGGTAGATTGGTCTCTCTATATGTATGTAACCCTCATCGGGGATGACCTCCTCCATCATGCAGAAAGGAGCCCGTCATCAGCAGAAGGAGGGAGCCCGACAAAGGGTATTCAGAGCATTACCAAAAAGGGTTTAAACAGTCAAGGTATTCGTTGTCATTCTTTTCCCGGCATCAAGTGGGGTCGAAACATGAACGATTATTACTACTTTGATGGAAATGGGAAAGTCTGCTAAGGGAAAAGAGGAGCTAAAAGATCACCGGTTCCTTGGTTCGACGAACGGACATCTACTAGACTACCGCAGCTAGTAAACAAATCAATGGCTGGTTCAATAAAAGTCGCATAGGGCATCACTGCAAGAGAAAGCAAAAAGAATCACCACTCATTACCACAAGACACGCATGTCGAACATATCAGATGCTGTCTGTAGTATAATGAAAATTCATTCATTGATCCTCCTCCATCTGAGCCTCGCACCTCTTCGATCCACCACCGCACGTGCCTCCAGATCTATGCAACAGCAACAGCACAATTTCCCAACATTGGTCCGACATGCATTCATCATCATCATCATGCGGAAATCCAGAAAACCCGTCCAGTCCTCATTCTTAGGCAGCCAGCCAAAATGGCCCCCCTCTCGTTCTAAATTCGGCGAGAAACTCGGATGTCAGAAAAATCAAAACCACCACCCCATTCTTGGGTGGATGCGGTGGCCTTTTCTTCACCGCATCGAAGGCAAAGACCCCTCCGCCAGCCTATGAGATCCCGTTCTGCGCAATGGAGACCCAACCACTGGCCATTCGGAGCTCCCCTTCGTCGGGGCTCTTTGACACCGTCGCAGTTGGTCCGGCCAGGCTAGTCCTGATACACCACTATGTACATCCATCAGCTCCGCCTGAATGTCTCCTCCCCATTAATCGTCCGAGTGCTGTACAGTTGTCCATCCTGTTGAGAATCTCCGACGTCCGCAATCGCTGCATCGCGTGCATTCTCTAGACCCTGGGTGTTTCCCGTGCCCCGCCGGAAAGCATATGCAGTAATGCACGCTGAATCTAGAGCCACTTGCTGCTATCTACAGGCTGTTACTGCTTGAGGAGTTGACTCGAATGAATATGTTGATACTATTCATCATAGGCCCCCCTGTCTGGTCTCTGCATGTATCCAAAATGGGACATTCCTAGCTCGAAGCGCTAGATCGCCCTTTTAAAATGAAACACCCCGGCAAGAACGGGCCAGCCCGCATACAATGCAGTTGAGGGAGAGCAGGGTGTTACGGGGCCCTGGAGGGCAAGTCAGGTACGACTTGTTGACAATGACTCATATGTCCGTCGGACCGCTGCATCATCCAGGGCGTGCGTACCCACCACATGGATACAATCTTTTATGCCCAACACCCGGAGATGTGCGTGCATCTATCGTATGTCGTTGGATAAGCAGCATGCAGTAAGTAGTTCTCTTACGACGACTTCTTAATTGACTCGATAAACCCTTCACCGGTCATCATTTGGAGGGAGATGGCGTTGGTCTAGATTCGAAGATCCCAGGCTGCGCACGAGCAACATGCAGTTTGACCAAGCATTTACCCGTCCAAAACGACACATCCAGAGGAATAGAAATGTCTCAGCTCTCAGAATGTTGTGGATGGTTGGCTATGACTCGGGCTCGGGCACGTGGTTCGGATACGTCACAGCATCGCAACTATGAGGCTTTTGTTGGGCCCAGCCAAACATCCCATTCTCCCTATGGCATCTGAACAATATGGGAGGATTTTTCTTTCGTAGGGTACATTTCCCCGAAGTCACATTACAAATGGAGAATACAGGAGGTGCACGAAAACATGGAAGGCAAGCAGCTGAGACTGAGTGGGCAAACGACACACCATTATCACGAGGACCCGCCCGAAGAATCTTGATACACAGTTGACCTTCCTGGTATTAAAACAATTGTCCCACCTCATTACCTGACAGTCATGCCACGATGCTCATTCATGGTGCTCATTTCGTCGCGTTCTTTCCCACATAGGGGGGATCCTCGCCATAAACGACCTTGTATTCCCGGGCGTACCGTTCGGCATCGACTTCTTGAAGTCGCACGTATTTCTGCTCGCTGCATTAGCATTCCTACTGACAACAGTCCGGGAGAGGCGCATCGTGCATACCTGTTTCTCTGCAGCGGTCATGCCTCGCCATTCTTCCGCAATTCGCACACCACGTTCGGGGATGGGCATGTACTTTAGGTCGCCAGCCTGATGGCGTTCCTCGGCGTAAAACAGATACGCGATCTTAGAGCGCTTGACCAGGCGAGGGTCATGAAGAGGGAAGAACTTCTTGTTCTGAATCTGGGCAAGTCTTCGCCTGGCGTCATTGGCTTGCTTGATCTCCAGGGGACTGTGCGAGTCGAGCCACTCCTTGTATTCCTTCTCGTAGGCTTCCTTGTTGGTAGCAGCAGTAGCGACAAATTGCTGTAAGCAGACGTCAGTATCATGGAACGTCTCATGTCTCTGGAAGGGAACAACGAACCTCGCGCTCAGCTTCACTAATGTTCTTGGCACGTTCGGCGGCCTCCTTGAATGCCTCCTTGCCCTTCAATCCCTTTCCTTCCTTCTTGACCTCTTCAAGCTTGCTGAGCATGGTCAGGGTGAAGTGGTTGGTGAGCCTCTTGGGCGGCGTAAGGGAGGCGGCCTTCAGCTGCTTAACAAGCTGCCTCAGGTCGCTCTTCTCCTTAGCTTCCTTCTTGGCCGCCTTCTGCTCTTCAGTGAGTTCCTTCTTTGCCCGAGGCTTCTTGGTAGTCTTGGTGGACTTGGTAGACTTCGTCGTCTTGGTGGAAGAGGATTTGGTGCCGGCGCGCCCCTTGGGGGAAGCCGCAGTCGCATAGCTGCTGGTCAGGTGTCCGGAGAGTGCAGCGGAAAGAGGCGCATATCTGACATTGGGGGTCGAGAAGCGACTCAGAGCGGCGAGGGACATGCGCCTAACATGGCTCTGGGAGATGGCCTGGCGGACCGGACGAGAGAAGGCCTCGCTAAGCTGGAGGTGTTGGAGAACACCCCCTCCGCACCGAACTAGGTTCAAAGGCATGGCCCTGAACAATGGTAGTCGCGTAAACGAGGGACGGGAGTGATACGTAGAGAGGAGTATGCTAAGCGGCCAAACAACGATCTGTCGAAGGATTCGCCCTTGTGCAGGATGCCTGTCAGTGACGAAACCGGGGAGGTTGGGGTCGCGTAGCTCAGTCGTTTGGGAGATACCGAATCGGGTAATGAAGCTCTCACGTGAGCATTACTGATATCGGTATCAATCACGTGCTTGATAAGTGGGCTCACTCGCCGCCTGAGGCGCGAAAGCCTCTTTAGTTTGGGAGAGAACAGACCGTCGGACACCATCACTTCGACCACACCTTGAGCTGTTCTCGCCACCGGGGTCCTGTCGGCACTGCCTGGTTTTCGAAGAAAATAACTAAACTGTTTCTCATAATTTGAATGGAAGGGTAAAACTCACTTTAGTATCCTGTCCACGTGCTCGAGCTTTTTCTTGAGTCTCAGTAATACTCACTCATCGTTGGCCTGCAACAATGGCTCGCCACGGGGATACTCGCTCACCATCACCTGTAGGCAGCACGTATTCCTCATCCAGACGGAATCGCAGAGACGATGATCGCTATGAGAGGAGCCGGCGAGACGATGGCAGGAGTTATCGCCGATCGCGCAGTCCTGAGGTACGCAGAAGCTCATTCCTTTCCCTCTGATGTCATGTAGGCAGCTCTAACAATTTCTCTCGCCTGGCTACAGAGACGATACCGTGAACGCGAACGCGATCGCGACCGTGATGCTTTCCGGAGACGTGACCGCTCGCTAGACAGACGCGACGAAGATTCATATCGACCCGGTCGCAGAGAACGCTCTCGCGATCGACGACGCTCTCGGGAGCGCGACGATTACCGTCGACGAAGCCGCGATAGGGACTATCGAAGCAGGCGAGAAGATTCCCGCGACAGGGCTCGAAGGCGGACAGATGATTCTGCTGACTTGAAGTACAAGTCTAGACGGGACGATAGCCGGGATCGGGCTAAGGATGCTCCTAGGTCTCGTGAGGTAAGCTCTGAGCCAATTTCGCGTTGCTTTTTCTGTCGCATTGGTCGAACGCATCTAACATGGACTATAGACTTCGAAGCCGTCAACACCAGCAGCCACCGCGGCCCCGACAGAGGACGAAAAGAGGGCGGAGAGACTCGCCAAGCTGGAAGCATGGAAGCAAAAACAGGCCGCTGAGAAGGAACGGAAACAGCGAGAAGCTGCAGCAGCTGGCGGAGCGAGAAGTATCTTAGAAGAGATCGATCGCAAGTCTGGTTTGTCACCGGCTGTCAGTTCTCCCCAATCTCCTGCAACACCAGGCGTTGATGCTACTCCCGGTACATATACTGGGAAGTTTGATCCAAAGGCGATTGCAAAGAGTGCTTCTTCTACACCCGCGCCCCCGGCGGTGCTGGGCAATGATGTTGCCGTCCCGCCATCTGTCAAGCCAGTTACTACCATCCCCTCTCAGGTCAAGCCCAAGTCTACTACAAGTGCCTCAGGTATGTGGTTCCTTCTGAATAAGGCTATTTTAATATGTACTGATTCGTTCACAGCTACCTTGAAGGCGAAAGGCAACGTTGGTGGTTTTGGCTTAGGTACCAAGCAAGCGGCAGATACCGAAAAGTCCACGGCTACCAAGACTTTAGGATTCGGAGAGGAAGAGTCGACACGCAGGAAGTTAGAAAGGCTACCTACCCCTCCCTTAGAAGACGCGAAGGATGTCAATGGAACTGCAGATGGTGCCGCTGATGAGGACGAAGACGATGTCGACATGCAAGACGGTGGCACAGAGGAAGAGGCGGCGGCGGCGGCACGAGCAGCGGCGGAGAGACGGGAAGAGCGCTTGCAGAGCGAAGCTATAAAAGCCCAATCCAATGGTGCCGAATCGAATGACACCGTAATGGGAGACGCTCCTAGTCAAGAGGCCGCCGACAACATGGAGGTCGATGCTCAAGAAGAGGAGGAAATCGATCCTTTGGATGCGTTTATGTCAGAGCTTGCCGAGTCGGCACCTCCAAAGAAAAAGGTCGGCGCCAAATTTTCGAGGACCAAAGAGCAGCAGCCTGAGGCTTTGTTCGGTGATGAGCATGACATTGATATGACTGCCGTCGGGGACGGGGATGCAGATGACTTCCTCGCCATTGCGAACAAGGCCAAGAAGAAGAAGGATATTCCAGCTGTCGACCACAAGAAGGTTGAATATGAAACCTTCCGGAAGAAGTTCTACACGGAGCCGTCTGATTTGGCACAAATGTCGGATGAAGAGGCGGCAAGTCTGCGTCTGGAACTCGACGGCATTAAAGTTCGCGGTGTTGACGTTCCCAAGCCAGTCCAGAAATGGTCTCAATGTGGGTTGGGAGTGCAGACCCTGGATGTGATCGACAAGTTGGGATACGAGAAGACTACCTCGATCCAGGCTCAGGCCATTCCTGCGATTATGTCTGGGCGTGATGTGATCGGTGTGGCTAAGACGGGATCTGGTAAAACAATCGCCTTCTTAATTCCCATGTTCCGACACATCAAGGATCAACGGCCGCTGGACAACATGGAAGGTCCCGTTGGTTTGATCATGACGCCTACTCGTGAACTGGCGACGCAGATTCATAAGGACTGCAAGCCATTCCTCAAGGCTTTGAACCTCCGAGCCGTTTGTGCTTATGGCGGCGCGCCCATCAAAGATCAAATTGCTGATTTGAAGCGTGGTGCCGAGATCATTGTCTGCACACCGGGCCGAATGATCGACCTTCTGGCAGCAAACGCCGGTAGAGTCACTAATCTACGCCGGGTCACTTATGTGGTCCTTGATGAGGCGGACCGGATGTTCGACATGGGCTTCGAGCCGCAGGTGATGAAAATCATGGCCAACATTCGCCCTGACCGGCAGACGGTGCTTTTCTCGGCTACTTTCCCTCGGAATATGGAAGCGCTGGCTCGCAAGACCCTGACGAAACCGATTGAAATTGTGGTTGGTGGCAAGAGTGTCGTGGCTCCCGAGATCACGCAGATCGTTGAAGTGCGCAATGATGACCAGAAATTTGTGCGTTTGCTGGAACTCCTGGGTAACCTGTATTCGAGCGACGAGAATGAGGACGCACGTGCTCTCATTTTCGTTGATCGTCAGGAAGCTGCTGATGCACTGCTTCGTGAGCTCATGCGCAAGGGCTACCCATGCATGTCCATCCACGGAGGCAAAGATCAGATTGACCGTGACTCGACCATTGAGGATTTCAAGGCTGGTATCTTCCCTGTGTTGATAGCCACGTCTGTTGCCGCTCGTGGACTGGATGTGAAGCAACTGAAGCTCGTCGTGAACTACGATGCACCCAACCACTTGGAGGATTATGTTCACCGCGCAGGACGTACGGGACGTGCCGGTAATACCGGAACAGCGGTCACTTTCCTCACGGAGGACCAAGAGCGCTACTCCGTCGACATCGCCAAGGCATTGAAACAGAGTGGACAAAAGGTGCCAGAGCCGGTACAGAAACTGGTCGACGCTTTCTTGGAAAAGGTCAAGGCTGGCAAGGAGAAGGCCAGTGCCTCTGGATTCGGTGGAAAGGGTCTGGAGCGTCTGGACCAGGAGCGTGATGCTGCTCGTATGCGTGAACGGCGTACGTACAAGACTGGCGAAGAGGGCGAAGATGAGGAAGAAAAGGAAGAGAAGAATGAGCAAGCCGAGGAGCGGTTCAACAAGGCTATCTCGTCTGTGCAATCTACGGCAGCTCCATCCCTGCCTGGTGTACCAAAGGGCATTGATCTTGATGGCAAGATCACCGTGCACAAGACGGAGAAGGATCCGAACAGCACGTCCAAGAACCCACTGGATAAGGTGGGCTCAGCCGTTGCGGATATCCACGCGCGCTTGAGCCGCGCAGGAGTGATGAGATCTGGAGTGCCCATCGACAACCGCGGGCCCGATGCAGGCGCGTTCCACGCCACCTTGGAAATCAACGACTTTCCTCGTAAGTCCACCACCTATTATATTGATTGTCGGATACTAATGTCCCTACAGAAAAGGCTCGGTGGGCCGTCACCAACCGCACCAACGTGGCCAAGATCTTGGAGGCCACGGGTACATCCATCACTACAAAGGGCAGCTTCTATCCTACGGGCAAGGTGCCTGGACCCGGCGAGAACCCCAAGTTGTATATTCTTGTTGAAGGAGAGACGGAGCTGGCCGTGACAAACGCCATGCGCGAATTGATGCGACTGCTGAAGGAGGGCACCATCGCGGCGGCGGATAGCGACGCGCGGGCACCCGTGGGAGGTCGCTACAACGTGGTTTAAGTATATTGCTGTACCATAGAGGCATATTATCGATAAGCATTCCACGTCCAGATGATTATTCTATGTAGACATGAAATAAAGAAAACAAAGCTAAGATAAGCTAGGCTGCTATGGTATCAACAGTAACCACAAGTTGTAACAAACTGCAAGAAATAGGAATAAATCCCGCTAAACCGCTCACTCATACAACCATAAATAAATCAACACCACGCAACTAAAACAACAAGCCCCCACCCACGTACAGATACATAGTAGTAGAAGAGATCAAAATTCTACTGCCACCTCCTCGCCTCCGCCGCCCCATCCGCCTCCCTGGCAGCCACCTCATCCCGACTAGCTTCATTCAGCGTCTGATTCTGCGTCTGCGCCTTCTGCGCTGCTAGCTTGGTGCCCAGCTTTCCTTTGCTCCCAGTTGCGGATGCGGACTCGGCTCGTTTCTATTCCAATCGTTGAACATTAGCCCAGCTCTCCATCCATCATAGACAAACACAAACACAAAAGCATTCATTCAGTATCAAGGGAAGGAGAGGGGAAGATAAGGAATACACACCTGCGCCGCCAACGCGGCATTCGTCCTCGCATCTGCAGTCGCATTCCCTTCCCCAGCAGCAGCAGCAGCAGTATTCCCCGACCCTAATGTCCGTCCGGAGGGTCCAGAACCCCAGTTAGAGGCGGGTTTGGCGTTAGATGGGAGCGGGGCGCGCGGGGCGGAGGAATCTTTTGCTGTGTTGTTCGGGGCGGAGCCGAGAACACGGCCGGGGGAGGAGAAGGCGTCGGGTTGGTTTTTGGATTTGGAGCAGATGTTGCCCATCTTGTTATGTTCCTGGTTGGTTGTTGGGTGGTAGTGGGTTCGTGCGGGGAAGGTTTGGATGGTGGATGGAGTGGACTTGAGGATAGATGGGGTGATTGGTGGGTTGGTGTGGATGGGTTAATCTATCGTTAAGGATGAATGGTATTGAGTGTAGATAATGGATAGGAGATGAGTAGAGGTTGTGTTGGATGGTGGATAGTATGGGGACGATAGTGAGTTGATAGGTGATGATGATAGTGATAGTGACGCGGAGGATCCGATCCGGAGGCGGCGGGCACGTGGGTAGCGTATCCGTTAGTCGGTAATGTTAATTGGCACATGGAGAATGGGGACTGCGGCCAGTGAGGGGGAGGGGTTTAACTATCTACCGATGAGTTTTTGTTGGTTTTATTTGAGGATTTTTTGGCTTGTTTCAGGGATATATGGACGGTTAATGAGATATTTCAATCGTTTGGATTCGCATCAATGACTCAAAGTCAAAATTCAAGAATGGCCAGACAAGGTTGTGGTGGTGGAACTTTGCTGCAGTAACGCCAGTCAGGTGATGTTATTCAGCTTATTTACAGGTATTGCTGTAACTGGCATGGTTTATGCACAATCACTAATATTTGATAAGACAGTATAGATATCGAGTCCTTCCTAAATGGTGTACCGACGGTATTTGGATCAGTCAAAACAGAATCAACCTCAAACACACGAATGCAGGAGGCATCATTGGTTCTCCTTCATTGATGGTTCTGGATGCTGTCCCACTTTCTCACCCAAGGCGGCAACTGTATTGCGGGCAGAATCCGGCCAGAATTTTCTCCGCCTGGCCCCAAGGTTCCCACCCTTTATCCTCGATGGATCGAACTTCAGGGTAGAAGCACAGTCCCTGAATATTCCTTTTTAAAGGGTCGTTCTTAAGAGAAAAAGGATTGCGGGAAAAAAGACGAAAGTAACTGATGAATATACAGAAAAAATTTCTGACATTGGGAGGAGTATCATTCGCTGCGGCGACCACAGACTAATGACGCCATCCCCCAAGGTCCTCGTCCCCAAGGTCCCCAAATTACCGATTGAGATCTGCGTATCGCGACGGTAACCTTACCGAAAAAGAGCCCTACTGCGGTGGTGTATTCTCAGTATCCTCTCCTCCTCCTCCATCACCACCAACTCCACTCTCGCGCTCTCTCTACCAACTCCTACTCGCTCCCTGTTCCATACTACCTCTGAACTATCCTGTTCGCCCACCATCGCCTGTCACCCGCCTCTCATGCTGGCCCCCAAGGTCCTCATCCCATCGCTTGCAGGCGGTCTGTCTTTTCTCTCTCCGACGTTCCTATCGGCTGTTCTTCATTCTTGGTGATCTCTGCGCATAGTCCAGTCGCACCACTGGCCTTCTAGCCTTCCCGTTGGACGATCTCTGCATTGCCTACCTTGATTGCAATTTGTTTTCATTGGTAAGAGTGTCTCTCTTCCCGTTCGCGTGGTGTGGAGGGCAAGCTAACTTGCCACTTGCGTGCTCTGCGTCAGACAAAGACAGACACACCCCAGATCATCCTATTCCTGTCCCCCCCGCCTCACAGCTCCTCTGGCGGTTTGCTCCGTTCATCATCCCCTCTCCAGTGTGACTGTTGCTTCAGCCTCGCGATTGACTGGGGACTCTCTGTCTATCATCTCAAGCCTGTCGATCGTCAATCGACACCATGGCTTCTCACACGAAGAAAGACGATTTCTGTCTTGAATGCCACTGGGAGGCATTCCATCTGGATGGAAAGGAGGCAGAAGATGCTTCGGAGGCGCAGTCAGTCCAATGGAATTGCTCCGACCAGGTACATCACACCCCAGCACCGCCTTGCAATGGGGATGACGACTGCAATGTCGAGGAGGACTGCTGTGATGTTGACGACTGTTCAATCACCTGTCCCTCCGTCTGTGACGGCTTCGTCGACTGCGGTGATGCTGCAGTATGCTCAGTCTCGCACTGCGACGAGGATCATTGCGAGAACACCGACCCGGTCTGCTTTGATGAACACTGCTTCGGCACTGGCACCAACATAGATGGCGAACACAGTTTGGAGTCGCTGCTAGGGTTGGGAACACCTCTTAACCTCGACACCAGCGACCTACTATCCCCGACCACCATGCCACAGTCGCAGGTGGAGCAACCCAAGACCATGACGCAACCTACGGGCATGGTACCCTCTGCACCGACGAGTGATGCATTCTTCACTCCTTATGCACCTGCATCCCACTGTCACTCCCACAGTCATCAGCATTTTCACTGTCATGATATATCCAAGGATGCTCACCATGCAGCAAATCCGTGGTTACCTCTGCAGAATGCTGTCAACCCGGCGGATGTATTCCACATGATGTGCCCTGACCTGTCTGCGTGCCATCAGTTCCACGTCCACGAAGTGCAGAACTGCCCTGATCAGGGCAAACCTGCCGATGATGCGGCCTCGAACTCGTTCACCTGCTTCCACATCCCTCACCATCCCCACCACCACCACCCGCCGAACGAAGTGAAGAGCCCAGCTCCGACGCAGAAGCCAACCAATAACTGGAAGCCATGCCGCACGCATGTTCATCGGTGTCGCACACACGGACACCATGTCCATTCCTATTCTCCCTACTCGCCGTACTCCCGCCATTCGCGGTCCAGCGTGAGCTCGCAATTGAGTCCGGGCGAGACGCCACCCCCGCTGGAAGGGGGTACGTCGTCCGTCTTGACCAGTCCGGAATATGTCCCCGATACCGAGGTATTCATCTGCCGGTGGATATCGAAGGCTGACGGGACTCAGCTCCCCTGCGGCGCCACTTTCGCGGATGCATGCGGTCTGCAGGAACATCTGGTGGCAAGCCACATGGCGACCGTAGATGGCGCCAAGGGTACGGGATATTACTGCTGCTGGGAAGGGTGTCATCGGCCGGACGAGCCGTTTTCGCAAAAGTCGAAGCTGCAGGGGCATTTCTTGACCCACAGTAATTGTAAGTGCACGCCCCGGAAACTTCTAGGACGAATGCTGACAATATAGACAAAAACTTCAAATGCTCAGTTTGCGGGAAGATGTTTGCGCGACAGGCAACCTTGGAGCGGCACGAGCGGAGCCACCGAGGCGAGAAGCCGTACAAGTGTTCGGAGTGCGGGAAGTCGTTTACCGACAGCAGCGAGCTGAGTATGTGCAAAGCATCTTTTAGATGAATAGACACTGACAAGATAGAAACGCATTCGCGGACGCACACGGGCGAGAAGCCCTTCAAATGCACGTACCCGGGGTGTAACTTCCAGACTGGCGACGTAAGTACAGCAGCCAACCAGAACGGGAGAAATCAAGCTAACAGATTCAGTCATCAAACATGTCCAGCCACCGATTGAGTATGTAACTTCGCCAAGCTATGCATGTAATATATACTAACTGGACTAGCACACGGCGAGCGCCGACACAAGTGCCACCACGCCGGATGCACCAAGAGCTTCACGCGACACGGTAAGCTTTACCTCCCTTGCAGTATGACGAATATGCTAACAACCCAGACCAACTTAAACGACATTTAAGAACCACGCACAAAGAAGACATCTCACTAGGTACTCCGATGCCGGATGACTTCGGACTTGCCTTCGCCGAAGTGGCGTGAGAGCAGCACAGACAGATACCAGGCGCAGATCAACGGGAAGGGAATATACATACATACGTGATTTCTGATACCGGATGGGATTGGATATAAAACGGAGTACGACGGCGAAACAGGACACTGAATGAGCGAGTGATTGATGACTGGTTAATTGAAAATGGATCATTATGAGTGGACGACACATACCTACTGCTTACTAGTATATATCCGACACGAGTTGAACAAACAGCCTCTACCTACTACACATCTAATGACATATTCACTACTACCACCTGAAATCCCTCATTCCAACACTAGATTCCATAACTATCATACACATACCCCCACGTCCCCCATCTCCTCCCCCCAAAGATTAAACTTAAATATATCATCATTTATTCAGCAGAAGCCCGTTCTTCTAAATTCTCCACAGCCCCCACAATCTCCCTAACCCTCGTCCCCACCCTCTTCCTCACCTGCTCGCGCACCTCATCCCCAATACTCCCCGGATCCAACCCCGTATCCACATCCACCTGTCCCTGCGGCGAATGGCTCACAAACGACATATCCCTTGTATACACCGTATACACGGCGATTAGCTCGTTGAGGGCATCACGCGCCGACTCTCGGTCAGAGGCCGCATAGATGGTCGCTGAGTCGGTGCTTTCCGTCGCGATCTCGAATTCGTCTTTGGCGACTTCGTAGCTGCGCGTTTACCGGGATTGTTAGTTTGTATGATGACGATTGGGTAGAGGGGAGGGGAGGGTATAGACGGACAGTTCTTGGAGTTCGTCGATGATTTGGTCGGCGGGGGGTTTGGAGGATGTTGAGTATGTGTTTTTGAGGGTGGAGATGTAGGTGGGTGGGTTTGTTGTTGGTGTTGTGGTGATGAGTCGGGGTGCGGAGGTGATGGGGTTGGTGATGAGTCGGAGTCGAGCGGACGTTGTGGTGGTGGATAGGGTGCGGAGTGAGAGGGGGCGAGGGATTGAGGGCTTGGGTAACGAGCGGGAGAGGTGCAGCCCACGGAGGGGAGTCCGGAGAGACATTTTGAGTTTGAATTGGAGATGGGATTGTTGGTAAATGGATAGATAGGATGGATGGTGGTGATGGTCGGAATGATGGGATGACGTCGGTTGGGGATGGACCGTGCTGACTAACCGGGGTATGTAACTATGCCCTTACTGTTAGAAGAAGTTGCGTGATACATACATGTCTTAGGCTAGTTGACGTGTCTTCTACTATGAACATCTTAAATGGTAGTAATAATACTCAGTTTTGCCATTACTTGAAGGGCTTGACTTCTTCTAATTGAACTTTTGGTTAGCCAGTGATTCAGCGTGGCATGGCCTGAATACTACTACTAATCTATCCTGGTGATTGATTGATTATAGCACTTCCTCGACCTAGGATCTCTGCCAGCTTCCTTATTATTGCCTTTTTGGAGCTCTCTATCATGGTTACGTTTCAAATTGGAGAGCTCCAATTTTATCTCCATATTCAGTTGTTGAAACCCGCTGCTTGGCTTTCAATCGCACCAATTCGTTCAATGGCGTGACGTGAGATATCGTTCCGCTCTCTTTTATCCCTTTCGAATAGAAAGGAATATAAACAGCCTTATACTCTTCTTCGTATGTAGAAATGCCGTAGTGCAGTCATAATGACAGCATGATATATGGAAAGCAAGGATGGTAGATTCAAATGTGTGAGGTTCCTCGTAAAGAATATTCTCAATAGTTCTTTGAGGTTGAATTTGCGTAGGATCTCATATAGATTTAATTGAAATGATATATGCTCTCCAAGAGTCCAGATGATGTTGTTGTCCGTTTACCATTCCGTTGTAGGAGAATTGGCTCGGGGAGAGCTGGCTTTATATAGATTTGATTCGGTTGAAGACGTGACTGAGAATGCGTGAATTGAGATGTGAATTAATAGGTGATAGATATGTGACTTCGATGTATGGGTGGATTTCCAATGGGAATAAGGAAATGTTTTCAGCAGTACAACAATACCATGAGACTTGAATAGTAGTAGTCAAAGCAGGCTATTGAAGGTGGCTGCCGCTTCCCCCAAATAGATTCTCTCTTGACCCTTATAAATAGAAGGGGACATTGCTAGTTGTCAACTTCCTGTCGGCAATAACCGAATTTCGACGGAATTTTCTGGTTGATATAGTTCTTTCATGACGAACTGCCTGGATGAAGCCGGCAAGGATTTAACAGGTAATGGGAATACTTCGTATTGCAGCTCAACAAAGTCTACAACCCAAGACACGCACTCTTGTCGATGAAAATGCAGCACATGTGACTGTGAATGATCACTGATACCAGGTATGTTATCCCTTTAGTCACAATGAATACTTGTAGGATTGTCCGTGTCTAGAGCAGCCAACCAAAGTCTGACATCCTGATCACCACTCTACGTGAAAGAATCCTGGGAAATCAGCGGAGACAATCATGCAACCTATCATGATGTATCTGATAAAATGCGCCCTGTGTGGCAGTGAAGTAATACTAATGTGCACTGTTGGTATAAAATCGGGCGCTTCTTGTGGCACAGCAACTGGCACAGCATGCGGCTCAGTATATTGTCCAGCTTTTGTAAACCTTCCAACACTTTTCAGCTTCCGACATCACCATGACATACAGCTCACCATTCATTTGTTCTCCAGAATTTTCTTCTTTGATTTATCTGACTCATAGTCATGGTGTTGAAATGGCCGCCATTCAAACCCTCCCTGACAATGCCTTTGGCGACTTTGTGCGCAATTGGGATGATGAGTGTGACCTCGAAATGGTGGTGGAACCATGCGATAGATATGATCCAGAATCTACTTCGAGAGTCTTCTATCCTATCTGTCTTGGAGAAGTGCTTAACGGGAGATATCTTATTGAACACAAGATTGGCTTTGGTGGCGGGTCAACTGTATGGATGGCCCATGACCTTCTGCAAAGGAAGGACGTTGCCCTCAAGGTCATGGCCTTGGGGGAGTGGGCAGAGAACGAAATTCGTATGCAGAACGAGATCATTCAGCATGTGCAGGATACCTCGTCTCTGGTGACATATCTCGATGCTTTCATTCTCCCCAGAGACAATGATCATCATCAAGTCTTAGTATTTCCCTTGATGGGCCCATGCGTTGACCGGGTTCTCCTGTTGAAAATGCCTCCAACCGCTCGCATGCCCGCTGCCCGAAAATTGTTGGAGGCTCTAGAGAAGCTACATCAAGCTGGCATTGTGCATCGTGGTGAGTAATGCTACTCTTCCCTTCCCTTATCTGAATCTAACGGAGAAAACCATAGACTTGAATGATAGGAACTGTATGTGGGGAATGACCCCTCTTCACCATCTTAGCCGGAGTGCTAAGCACAAAGCGCTTGGTCGGCCATTGAGGCAAGTCATAGATGACATTGACCTGTGGAAACGGGGCGAGCTTGTCCAACCCCTTCAGGTCCCTGAGAGCCTACGGACCGAGGATTTCTATATTGGAGACTTTGCCCTGGCAAAGAAGGTCGGTGAGTCCGCAACTCAACGGGGCTATCCGCCGATGCATTTCTGCTCTCCAGATCGCCTTCATGGAAAAGAAACAGGCCCTGCCTGTGATATGTGGAGTTATATGATTCTTTTTTCCGAGCTTTATCTTGGTATTCCACCGTTCAGTACTTTGTATCCGGGTGGGATTCTCAGTGCTATCACCAAAAATCTCGGACCCCTACCGGAAGAGTGGAAGGGTCTCTATGTCTTCTCTGGAGGTCTTGATTCGTGGTATGACCAGAGTCAGGGGCCCGATCCAGATAGCTTAGAGTTTCTCGTTTCATATCACCGTCCCGATGCCGACCCAACTGAACGACAGCATTTGCTCACTCTCATGAAGAAAATGTTTACCTATTGTCCTGAGGAGCGCCTGACCGCGACACAGCTCCTGTAGGATCCTTCATTCAAAGCGATCATGAACAATTATGCCTGTTGATACCCTACCTTGGTCCTTGGTCTTGTGCTATTAATTTTTATTTGTTTCATTTGCTAGCGATAGAATACATACCCCTTAGGCATAAGCGAATCTTAATCGAATGTTTGCTAGTAACATTGACCTGTTAATACTAGCAGAGAGTATATACATGCATCGGCTGAGTAGAGCCGAAATGCACTTCAGCCAAGGATGTCGATCTGCGAAATCAGCCATTAATGAAAAGCCAAGAGATCGACTCACCAACTCATCCTCACGAGATTGGTGATGCATTTAACCCAGAACTTGGTTTAGCCTAAACCCGCATGGCACGCTCCCACACCCTCATTAAAGCAGTCGCCTATAAAACCCTAAAGCATGCTAAACTTTCAGTAAAATAAATTCACCACATTTCACCATGTGGCTCTCCACCCTCCTCATCACCACACTACTATCAACCACTACATCCTCCTATCCCACAACAAATCAAACCTACACCAACCCCATCCTCCCCGGCTGGCACTCCGACCCAACATGCGCGCACGTCCCGGAGCAAAACACCACCTTCTGCGCCACCTCCACCTTCATCGCCTACCCCGGACTCCCCATCTACGCCAGTAAAGACCTCCAGAACTGGAAATTGGCCAGCAATGCCTTCAACCGGCCCTCTCAAATCCCCGATCTCCGCAACACCACGGACCAACAAGGCGGCATCTACGCCCCAACCCTGCGCTACCACAACGGCACCTTCTACCTGATCGTCACCTACCTCGGCTCAGACATTCAAGGCCTCCTCTTCACCACCACCAACCCCTACAACAACTCCGCCTGGACCGACCCCCTCGTCTTCACCGTCACCGGCATCGACCCAGATATCTTCTGGGACGACGACGGCACCGTCTACGTCACATCCGCAAACAGCGGCTCTTCCAGCGGCAACCACATCCAACAGTACTCCCTCGACCTCACTACCGGGGCTACCGGCCCAGTCCACAACCTCTGGAACGGCACCGGGGGTTCCAGCCCCGAGGGGCCACACATGTTCCGCAAAGACGGATACTACTACCTCATGATCGCCGAGGGAGGAACCGAACTCGGCCACTCGGAGACTATTGCGCGGTCTAGGTTCCGGACCGGGCCGTGGGAAGCTTATTCGCGGAATCCGCTGCTGACGAATCGCAATACGACGCAGTATTTTCAGACGGTTGGGCATGCGGATCTGTTTCAGGATAGCATGGGGGATTGGTGGGCTGTGGCGCTGAGTACGCGATCTGGGCCGGCGTGGAAGAACTATCCCATGGGGAGAGAGACGGTTCTTGCGCCGGCGAGATGGGAGGTGGGCGAGTGGCCGGTTGTGCAGCCTGTTAGGGGGGTGATGAGTGGGCCTTTGATGGAAGAGGATAGGGGGATTACAGTTGGTGAGGGAGGCTGGATTGACCAACCTGATAGGGTGGATTTCGTTCCCGGGTCGGCGATACCGGCGCATTTTGTGTATTGGAGGTATGCCAGGACGGAGGATTTTGTGGTTTCGCCGGAGGGATATCCTAATACTTTGAGGTTGACTCCGTCGTTTTATAATCTGACGGGGACGGCGGAGTTCAAGCCTGATGATGGTTTGACGCTGGTTATGCGTCGACAGACGGATACGCTGTTCACATATGGTGTGGATGTCTCGTTTGATCCCGAGGTGGATGATGAGGAAGCAGGGGTTACGGTCTTTTTGACGCAGGAGCAGCATATTGACCTGGGCATTGTGTTGCTACAGAATGACCTGTCATTCAGATTCCGCGTTGAAGGTCGTGGGAATTACGACGGTCCTCTTCCTGGACGAACTGTTCCTGTTCCAAAGGAGTGGCAGACAGGTCCTATCAGGTTCGAGATTCAGGCTGTCAACGACACAACTTATGCTTTTGCGGCTGCGCCATCGAGAAGCCCGAGTCAGAGGAAGATCATTGGGTATGCAGATACAAGGATTGTAAGTGGTGGCACTGGTCGATTTACTGGTAAGTTGGTCCCTTATATTATCGATTTGTTGCAGTGTTGACATTGGTAGGCTCGCTTGTTGGTGCTTATGCCACGAAGAACGGAGGCGCTGGGTATACGCCGGCTTATATTAGTAGATGGAGATACCAAGGACAAGGTCAGGAAATTGATTTTGGTCGTATAGTTCCGAGCTGGACCAGGTCTGTTGCATCGGTGGAAGACTAGGATACTTGCACAGAATGAAGAGCGTTGAATACATCGCCATGTTCATGTGCTCGCAGCCCCTCGTAGATAAATTGATAATGTTTGACCACAAGAATGTATTTCTAAAAACCATTTGTCCGTAGGCTGAACCTTCTGTTTGGTTGGCACCTGCCCAATGTGCTTTGCAAAATCCGTAGTCTTCTGAACTTTCACACACCTTCCACCCCATTGCTGTAGAATGTCCAAGATGTGTGAAGAGTGACATGACATGTCGATGACTACTGATAAAGGTAGTCCCATAGCAAACGGGGGTTATGCATACCTGTTTCGACACCCCGGCATGTTCACCCCCGGCACTGCATCCTGTGCTGGTATGTCCGCGGGTGTGCGCTGGTTTATCCCCACATTTGCATTCCCTTGGAAGTCTCTGACAGTTGACTGGATATTGATAGACTTGTCCTACATTGATGAGGACATGATGCGGCATGGGCTATAAAATCTCCACGGATTGGTTCTCTGTTTCTCAATCTCCTGCCTCTTCAGATGGCTGTCAACATGTCACAGTTGATAATAGCTTCAGCACCCCCAGCAAAGCCAACAATGATCAGCGGTCATTTGACACCAATGATTATCATTACGGATTAGTGTCTGGTATGGATATACTGGGCACTCGATTCCTAGGAAGTAGAGTCGCTCAACGTTAGGTACGCCCCGCATTCCTTGCACATTCCTCTTATATACAAACGGATCCCTTTTCCTTGAAGTAAGATCGAAGGATCATTTCAAAGAGACATATAAGGAGCTACATACTACCAACGCGTAGCCCCAAAGATACAGACCCGACAGCGGTGTTCAGCCAACCGACACTATGAGAATTGCTCCTGCTGCTTCGGTGGCACTGCCAGTGTTGGCGGCGCATGCTGCGCCCCTTGCTGAGTCCACTTGTCAGAAGACAGAAGTTGTCATCCTGTAAGCTCTTGGTAACAAGACGACCCTCCAAACAATTGACTCATTCATTCAGGGGAGCAGGAGTAGCCGGTCTTACCGCTGCAGTAAGATCCTCCCCTCGAGTTCTCACGGACCAAATTAACCACAATAGAAAACCCTTGCGGACCACAATGTCAACGACTTTGTTGTGCTCGAATATCAGGACAGAGTTGGCGGCCGGCTTCATAATGTCACTTTTGCCAAGCATACTGTTGAGGCTGGAGCCAACTGGGTATGCGTCACTCGGTTCTTTTCTTTAATGGCTGATCCGCGCTGACCAAATAGGTTCACGGGCCGGGGACTCCAGAAGGCCACATTAATCCCATCTGGACTATGGTACGTATTTCTTGGTGAGGTCTGCTTCCACTGCTAACCACTCAGTGTAGGTCCAAAAGGCGGGGTTGAAGACAGTGTATGACCCTCATCTTAAGGAGTTTTGGAATCCATGGTATTAATTGACCCGTCAGAACCACCGACGAGGACGACAACTCCATGTACGATCACACCGGCCCGACAGACTACTCTGCTGTCTTCGAGCGTGCCGAAAACGCGAATAAACTCGTATTTGCCGACGCCGGCGACATACTCAAAAGCAATTACCAAGACCGGACACACCGCGCTGGCCTTCGGCTTCAGGACTGGAACCCAGCCATTAACGATCCAGCCGCGCAACTGGCCGACTGGTTTATCTGGGACTGGGACGCAGCAGCTCCGCCAGAGGTAAGCTCCGAGGTGTTCGGCACCATCTCCATCAACGCAACCTACAATTACTTCTCCCACTCGGACGAGTTCATCTGTGACCCGCAAGGGTACGTTCACGCCTTGTGGGAGGACGTCAAATCCGCCTTCGAAGGACATCCGGAGCGTCTTCGCCTGCGGACCAAGGTCACCGAAATCAAGCACGATGCAGACTCAGTCACCGTGACCAGTGCTGATGGCCACTGCGTCACAGCCAAATACGCCATTGTGACTTTCTCCGTCGGTGTTTTGCAGAAAAAGGACGCCGTACGATTTATCCCCGAGCTACCAGCCTGGAAGACCCGGGCCATTGCCGGCTTCGAAATGGGCACGTACATTAAGATCTTTCTCGAATTCGAGACTAGCTTCTGGGACTCCAAGCAGTTTTTGCTATATGCGGATCCCCATGTCCGCGGCAACTATCCGATCTTCCAGCCCTTGGATCTGGAAGGGTTGTACCCGGGGTCTAATATCCTCGTGGCCACGGTGATCGGAGAGATCGCTTACCGGATTGAATCGCAGTCCAATGAAGAGACCGCGGCGCAAATCATCCAAGTGCTGGAGAATATGTACGGCAAGGGCGTCGTCTCGACACTGAAGGACATTTCCTATACAAGATGGGACCAAGAAGACTGGTATGTAGCGTAGCACCACCCTTAGCAGCAGCAGCGTCGGCGGCGGCGGGAGCTCTCTAACTAGACTTAGGTCTTACGGATCCTACTCTTACTGGCCCCCTTCGACTAGCCTGCAAGCGCATCAGAATATGCGCGCCAACGTCGACAGTGTCTTCTTTGCCGGCGAAGCCACTAGTCAAGAGTTCTTTGGTTACGTGCAAGGGGGATACTATGAGGGCAAACATGTGGCCGAGTTTCTGGTGGGGTGTCTTACTGCCCCAGATCCGGAGCAGTGCGCTTTGAATCCAGATCAGAAGCGATACCCTGTTCTGACGGGAGTTACGCCGTATGACGTGTATAATCCGGAGAATGGTTGGTATATTTATGATGAAGATTTGGGTGTGCCTGGACATGCTTAGTCTATCCTTGACTTGCGATATTGTTTTCGTCATTGCGATATCCATGCACTAGATGTCCTGGATGTAGGGGGATCAACAGAGAGCTATTTATGTAGAGGTAATATTGTGGCAATCACCAAGTGTTTACTTGACCATCTCTCTTGATACAGTGCTTTAAATATTACCACCCCATCCTGACAGATCAATCATTCCTTACCAATCACCAACACATGATAGAACAGAAACAATATCATCAGACTTATCCAGACAGCCACACCACCAACCTGTATACGTAGCTATACATCTAGATTACAATACAAAAAGCTGAGATCAGAAGACTCCCAACCAACACCCAGAATAAGCCCCCAAGACACAGAAAAAACAAAAAACAAGAAAGGTATTTTGATTGAAAGAAAAAAAGAAAACCACCATCACGAAGACTGAATACCCCCATGCCCATGCCGAGCCCTCTCCCTCTCCACCGCAACCTTAACCAACGAAACCAACCAGCCCAAAAACCCATCCACTATATACGCCGGCGGGAAGAACCTCCCCCTATCCCTCTCCCCCCCACCTATCCCATCCCCATCAAACACCCCACAAACAAACAACCCCCTCATCTCCTCCAACATCCTCAAATCCCTCGTAAAGGTCGGGTCTCTTGGGTCCGGATTTTCAATTAAGCACCAGAAGACAGTGAGAATAGCAGAGAGGATAAATTGTGCATGGATCCTATCCATCATACACACACACACACACACACACCGTTTGTATCAGTATACTATACATAGCCAGGGATAATAATAATAATACTGGAAGGGGGACTCACCAAAAACTAAACCGATCGACCAACCCCCCAGGACCAGAAGTCAAATAATACAGTAATGTCGACCTGGACGCCTGATAATACAGCTCTAGACTGGAAGCAAGCGGGGCAGAAACAACGGATAAACTAGTCGTGATACTCGCTTCGTGCAGTTTGCGAATACAGTAGTGGTATTCGAGGTGGATATTGACGGGGCGGATATTGATAACTTTCTGACTACGGTCTTCGATGGAGGGGATTGTTGTTGGATCACGATGATTGGATGTGCTGGTACTGGTGCTGTGCTCTGAACTAGGAGTATGTGCTTGTGCATGTGTAGGAGTATGTCCCAGTGGATACTCGGCATACAGCTCGCTTAAATCCTGATCGAGTTGGCGGATATGCGCGAGACGGCGGGCCTCCGGGAGGGATTGGGCGTGGCTGGAGTAGAGGCGGTTGTAGATGTGGGATTTGAAGATGGCGAGACGGATGTCTGTCGGGTAGAGGAGGGGGGATTTGGAGGTGTCGTAGAATGATGATGGAGAAGATGGAGATGGTTGGGGGGAGCGGGTGGTGGAGCCGATGTAGGTTTGGGGGAGGTCGAGGTCGACGTCGATGTCGTGGATGAGAGGTGGTGAGCAGGTGCGGATGCACATTTCTTTATCCATGCTGTAGCAGAGCCAGAATATGGCGCGGAGGTGGGGATGGCTTTTGCTACTGTGGGTTGGGGAGGATTCTGGGAGAGGGGTGATGCGGTGGCCACCTAATTGGTATAATATGCGGATGGCGGTTGAGAGGAGGATTTGGGCTTGTTGAGGGTAGCCGGCTGGGGCGATGTGGAGGGCCTATATCTATGTTAGGATATAGAGAGTATGGTCGAGTAGGGGAAAGGGGGGGGTTACCAATATGAGAAAGGTTTCTAGTTTCTCCACACTAGCTAGCTCAAGCATCAGCTTAGGCACGAGTGTCAGTACGGACTGCACATAAGCGTCCGGATCTGTATCTGCAAACTGCGGCTGGTGTTGATTTTGCTTGGTGATAATGGCTGCGAAGGCGAAGAGATGGGCTTTTTCTGCTGTGGTAGGCGCGGGATCTGTTCGACCAGAGACGAGGGCATTAAGGACAGCCTGGGAGGCGGGTACATCCACAACAGGGAACGTCAAGTACATGCTCTTGGCGACGTAGTAGTCGAGACATTGCTGGATCAGCGTGTAGCTGGGCCATTGAGGACTGGTCACTGTTGGCGAGATGGAGGCATACTGGGCTTTGTAGGACTCTGTCACGCGGGCTAAGAAGCCGGGCAAGTCCAAGACAGTACCAGTCTGGCGGTAGACAGTGGCATGGAACGAGGTGCGCTGAGGGGAGTTAGTAGTGCCTGGCCAGGAACTTTCCAGATGTTGTTTGAAGATTTCGAAGGCTGTGTCGAAATCGGATGAGTCCTGAGGATGCGATGGCGCGGCGAAAAGCGGCATCGGCGGACATGGTGAGACAGATCGCAATTCATCCTGCAACTGGATGATTGGTGAAACTGCTCCTGGGAGAGAATGGCCAGCGATGAATCTTTCTAGTTCTTGTACACGAGCCTTGGCTTCAGCGAGTTGTCTGTAGAGATCAGCAATAATGTTACTATCAGATTGCCACTAGAACTTACTCTCTAATGGTCTTCCTCGGTTGACCAGTGATAGTAAAGGTACAAGTGACACCAGCAAAACGACAATTCTCACATGCTGGCTTCTCTCCGTCGCACCGAATCTATACTGCATCAGTGATGAACTCGTAGTAAAAGACATAGGGCATGCACCTTTCTATGCCGGCACAGGTCACATGCACTCCTGGCCCTCCCGCCACGTGGGGCCACAGCGTCAAGGATAGTATCTGCATCCATGCTGACAGACCGTAGGAATCAACCGACACTGCAACTCTGCTAATTAAGCGGGAATGAGATCCCCCGGCAGGAAATGCATGATTAAGACCCTTCAGGGTCCAGGAGAACTTGATCGCTGCCTAGAAGCTTAGTCATCGGCGTGCGTGGCCTGGCGGCCCCACTTGGGCGCGATTCCGCCGAGCCCAGACCAGCCCAGACACGATGCAACTATTGTGAAGATATAGTGTAGAGACCAGTGAGAAGTAATTGATGAATTGTCAGTGCTCTGATCAACATTTGACTGCAGTTACTTCTGTCAAGGTTGTCTATAATGATTGGGATATCAGTGCACCAGTACCAGCCTGATACTACTGTGTACTATCTACCCATGGGTACTAGCGTTTCACTCTAATTATACCCTGAATATGACCAAAATCGGGATATCCACTTTATTATTGCCGTCCTATCCGGTATTTGCATCCATTATTGCATGCTAAATTTACATACTGGATGGACATAGTCAGGTTGTCGAGAAGTTAGGGCTAGGGTAGTCACGACACGAGGCTGACGGGAACGTGCATAACCCTAACTCGTTCCCTACCAAGAGAACCTATGCTCACCTATACCATTATCCAGAATTGCATTCAGCAACTGATTATCAATACTTACGAGCATCCGAAGAATAAAGTAGCTGTTTATATATAACACAGATTCAAGATCTAGAAATAAAAGTAAACCACTCTAGTTCACCAATGCCAAGCAACGCCCTCCTACTCTGGTAAGCATCTCTACAATCCAAACAATAAGCCAAAGAGAGACAAAAAAAGCTACTTAAGTAGTAAACTTCAACCCCCCATTAGCACAAACCACACTCCCAGTACACCATGCCCCATCCTCCGTACAAAGCATCCCCACCACGCCCGCAATCTCCCTCGTAAACGCAGGCCTCCTCCCACCCATCTTCTCCCTAATCAACCTCTTCTGCTCCTCACTCAGCAACTCCTCCACGGCCTCCTCCCCATCCACCAACTTACTCAACGGCGTATTATCCTGGAACCCCTGCATCTGCTTCCAAAACTCCTCGCCCGTAGCAAAATACATATCACCCACAACAGGACCGGGATTCACCGCATTCACCGTCGCCACATCGGCCAACTCCCTGGCCCACGTCCTCGTCATCGCCTCCAACGCCGCCTTCGTGCCCCCATACACCGACTGGCCCGTGAACCCCAGCGAGGACGAAATACTCGAGATGTTAATGATGCGGCCGCTGTGCGCGGGCTTGCGCGGGAGGTACTCCGCACAGGCTTGGGTGAGGAGCAGCGGGGCGAGCACGTTGATGGTGTAGTGCCAGTTGAAGTAGGCGGGGTCGATGGGGCCGGAGGAGGGGTCGTTGAGGAAACGGTCTTTGCTGACCCCGGCGTTGTTGATTAGGATGTCGATGGTGAGGGTGTTGGTGGTGGGCGAGGTGAAGTGGGTTTTGGCGGCGGAGATGATGGTGTTGACGGCGGGGGCGGGGTCGGAGAGGTCGGCTTGCACTGGGATGCAGGTGATTTTGTGCGTGGTGGATAGGGTGTTGCAGAGGGATTCGGTGCGGGCGCGAGAGCTGTCCGAGGTGTAGTTTAGGAGGAGAGAACAGCCTTTGCTGGCGAGGTTGTGGGCAATGGCTTCGCCGATTCCTGGGGAGGTGTTAGTGGGGTGATGGCGGGGTGATGGCGGGGAGGAAGGGGATGGAGATGGGGTACCGCGGGAGCCACCGGTGATGATGGCGAATTTGCCTTCGAGGGAACGGGACATGTTGGATGCTATGTGGTGCAGTGTGAAGTAATCTGAAGTGGAAAAGAAAAAAAAAGAAAAGAAAAAAGATAAACGGTACAATGAAGGAAAGTCGGGGAATCCAATTTATAGTCAAGTTCGAGTAAATGTAACTCGGGTAAATGGCCACCGGGAAATTACCCCATTGGTTCTCCGGCGGCACCAACATTGAGATATGCAATTAAGTAGTAGCTGTGATCTACACAGTATAAAGTTAACATATACCCTAGATTCAGTTCAAGACTAATATCTATACATTCTTCAACAACCCCAATAGCGTCTCCCCCACATCCTCTGCAAACTCCCTACAATTCACATCCCCCTTACACCTCACAACCCTCACCCCCGACCCCTCCAACCCCCTCTCCACCGTCCCAAACAACACCTCATCCGCATCCCCATCATAGAACCCATTCCCCGGAACATCCATCATACTGACTCCCCCAGTGGGCAACATCACCACCACATTCCCGGGCCACTTCGCCTTCCTCAACTTCCCCACAATAAACTCCCCGACTCGTCGATTCTCCTCCTCATCCGTCCTCACAATCGTCACCGTCGGATTATGCTCATAGATCCTCCTCCCCTTGAACCGTTCGGGAATTGTATCCTTCGTCCCGAAATTAATCATATCGCATGCCCCCACACTCACCACCTGCGGGATGCCCCTCCCCGCAGCGGCCTCTAACCTGCCCGGACCGGCGGATAATACCCCACCGGCGAGCTCATCCACGATCTCGGAGGTGGTCAGGTCCACAATAGCGTCCAGTTGTTGTTCGCGGATGAGGCGCTCCATGGCTTTTCCGCCCGAGCCGGTGGCGTGGAAGACGTAGATTTCACATTGGTTGGGAAGGTGGGATTCGAGGTAGCTGCGGATTTGGGTGACCGCGGGGGTGGTTACGCCGAACATGGTGATGCCAATTTTGGTTTTCTTTTCTTGTTCTTTCGGGGTTGTCTTTGTATGTCCGTTTGTGGCGATGGTAGTCTCCGAGGTAAGGTAGTCGCAGTATGATGTGGCCATGCCGGTCCCTGCAGCCGCTGCATTGCGGAGAATTCTATTCAAGATGCTGTTTGTACCCGCTACATCGACGACACTGTACATCATGGTGATGTCTGTTTCCTGGATGTAGGGCCCCACGTCGCCGGAGGCCATGGTGGAGACCATGAGTTTGGGGAAGCCGATGGGGAGGGCATCGCGCATGATGGCGGTTGCGATGGTGGTGCCGCAGCTGCCGCCGATGGCGAGGATGGAGTGGATTTTGCCATGGTGGTAGAGGTCGGCGACGGTGGGGGTGGATTGGTGGGTGATGGTTTGGATGTAGTCGTTTCGGGAGAGTTGGGTGTAGTCGATTGTTTTGTTGTTGTTGAGGCTGGGATGAGGAATGTTGATGAGAGGGGAGGAGGTGGCGGCGCGGCCGACGTCCATGAGAAGGACGGAGATGGAGGGGTTAGAGGTTAGTTGGGAGTGGAGGTAGAGGAGTTCGGACCATTTTGTGTCGCCGGTGCCGAGGAGGAGGATGGTCGGCATGTTGCAGTATACTTTATCTATGATGATGTTGATATGGGAATAGTTGTAGAGAAAGAGAGAGAGAGACTAGTAGTCGTAGATATTACTTATGGGGAATGGTTTTATAATGATAAAGAGGGGCATGTTACACAGTGGCTAGTGGCAGGCCGCTGAACTGAAGACTCGACCAGCACTGCAACATCTCCGAGGCTACGAAACGGACTGTATGTAAGACCGACTGGGATCATCGCAGGAACTAAAAACTCAAGGCGAGGTAAAACTAATTAATCACGCATCGGAGAGGAGTCTCAGCTGCGGGCAAACCACGCCGGTTGCAGACTAGTTAGGGTTAGCCGTGGGTCAAATCCTGGGACAATCTTCAGCTGAACCGGTAGCGTTAGTCCAAAGTACCCTCATGCGCCACCAACTGGAGACCTCATTATCAATTATGTGGTAACCGCCTGATCCACTGATGATTTGGCACCCCCTCTTACCCCTCTTCGGAGATAGTTTCACACCATCACGGAAGACATACATCCCCGATATCCTCGCCCTTATTCTAAACCCGATTTCTATGGTTCGGAGGTTATTTAAGGTTTCAACTTCCGTTCTCTAGTCCTCAAGTTAGTACATAACATACTAATCTCCTTATACCTATACCGAGACACATACATACTAAACGATATACACCATGCCCCGCCCAACAACCCGACAAGAAGTCCTCGCCCGTCTACGCAAGACCATCGCCGATGGTTCCATCATCATCGGTGCGGGAGCCGGTATGTACCCATCCCTTCCTCAAGCTATACCCTCACTTACTACTATCTCCCCCATACATCCAATCAACACCGACTAACCATAACAATGATATGAAATATAGGAATCGGTCTCTCCGCCAAATTCATCGAAAAAGGCGGCGCCGACCTCATCCTCGTCTACAACTCGGGCCGATTTCGCATGGCGGGCCGAGGCTCTCTCGCAGGGATGATGCCCTACTCTGACGCCAACGCCGTGGTCGTAGAGATGGTATCCCCATCCCCATCCCCCCACCTACCACTCATAACTAGATACTAATGAAAATGAAACCAGTCCAACGAAGTCCTCCCCCTCATCCAAAACACCCCCGTCCTGGCCGGTGTGTGCGGCACTGACCCCTTCCGGGACATGCGGACCTTCCTGCGCCAACTACGGGATATTGGGTTCGTCGGCGTGCAAAACTTCCCGACAGTCGGGCTCATCGACGGGAACTTCCGCGCGAACCTCGAAGAAACAGGGATGGGGTATGAGAAAGAAGTGGAGATGATTCGGATCGCACGGGAAATGGATCTGGTGACGACGCCGTACGTGTTTAACGTGAAGGAAGGGGAGATGATGGCGCGGGCGGGAGCGGATGTGATTGTGGTGCATGTGGGATTGACGACAAGTGGGACGATTGGAGCGCAGACGGCGTTGACGTTGGATGAGTGTGTGAAGGTGGTGCAGGAGGTGCGGGATGCGGTGGTGAAGGTCAATCCGGAGGTGATTGTGTTGTGTCATGGAGGGCCGTTGGCGGGGCCGGAGGATGCGGAGTATGTGTTGAAGAGGTGTCAGGGGGTGCATGGGTTCTTTGGGGCGAGTAGTATGGAGAGATTGCCGGTGGAGGTGGCGTTGGAGGAGAACGCGAGGAGGTTTAAGGAGATTCAGTTGTAAGTACTTATGGCTTAGTGTAAGTAGGGGGAAAAAGGTATGTTGGGAGACTACTATGGAAGCGGTGATCCAATAGGAAATGATGAATGTATTCAATTATCTGGTATCTTCTGTTGAACAATTACTCCACAACCACCAATGCAACCCTAGCCATACCCAGCCACTTTTATTTGCCGTTGAAGACAATGCTTTTGAGCCCCATGTTGATAAAGAACCCTGTATATGTCGTCGTAACATCGTGAATGTTGAAGTCTAGCAGTAGAATTTCGACATTTAGTAGCGGTAGCTAGTTTTTCAGTTAGCCTGTTATATCACTTTGTAAAAAGGTGGCAAGCGAAGGGGGGGCTTACTGGTCAGCCTTGAAAGGTCCGGTGACCTCCAAGCCAAGGTACTCAGCCTGGACGGGGGTGAGCTGAGACAGCTTGGCGTTGACGTGCTCCAAGTGCTGGAGAGCGACCTGCTCATCGAGAGCCTTGGGGAGAACGTAGACACCGACGGGCTTCTTGCCGGTGGTGCCGAACTCAACGTACTTCTTGCCGAACTCGGCGTCCTCGGCCTTGAACAGAGCAATCTGGGCAAGGACCTGGTTGGAGAAAGAGCAGGACATGACGAAGGAAGAGTGGCCGGTGGCACAGCCAAGGTTGACGAGACGACCCTCGGCCAACAGGATGATGTGGCGGCCGTTGGCCATGGTGTAGCGGTCAACCTGGGGCTTGATGTTCTGGACCGACTTGGCGTTGGCCTTGAGCCAGGCAACGTCGATCTCAATGTCGAAGTGACCGATGTCTTAACTCGTCAGCAAATGAAACAAAAGGAATTGTCAAGGAGGACTTACTGCAAACAATGGCGTCGTTGCGCATCACCTCAAAGTGACGGCCAACGAGGATGTCACGGCAACCAGTGGTGGTGACGAAGATCTGACCCTGGGGAGCAGCCTCCTCCATGGTGGTGACCTGGTAGCCCTGGACGGCAGCCTGGAGGGCGTTGATGGGGTCGATCTCGGTGACCAGGACGCGGGCACCCATGCTGCGGAGAGCATCGGCACAGCCCTTGCCGACATCACCGTAACCGGCGACAACGGCAACCTTACCGGCGATCATGACATCGGTAGCGCGCTTGATACCATCGATGAGGGACTCACGGCAACCGTACAGGTTGTCGAACTTGGACTTGGTGACGGAGTCGTTGACGTTGATGGCGGGAACAAGGAGCTTGCCCTCCTTGAGCATGCGGTAGAGGTGGTGGACACCAGTGGTGGTCTCCTCGGACAGACCGTAGCAGTCCTTAAGCTGCTCGGGGTACTTCTCGTGGACGAGGGAGGTCAGGTCACCACCGTCGTCGAGGATGAGGTTGAGCTTCTTGCCATCCTTGAAGGCGGAGAGCTGCTGGTCCAAGCACCAGTTGTACTCCTCCTCGGTCTCACCCTTCCAGGCGAAGCTATCAATTGTTAGGACGAGCTGATAGACTGTATACAGCAGAACTTACACAGGGACACCGGCGGCGGCAATGGCGGCAGCGGCGTGGTCCTGGGTGGAGAAGATGTTGCAGCTGGTCCAGGTAACCTCGGCACCGAGGGCAACGAGGGTCTCGATGAGGACGGCAGTCTGGATGGCTGCAGGGGATTAGAGAGATTTCAAAGTGAGAAATAATCAGGCCGACATACTCATGTGCAGGCAACCGGCGATACGGGCACCCTTGAGGGGCTGGTCGGGACCATATCTGCGGCGAATGGACATGAGACCGGGCATCTCAATCTCGGCGAGCTCGATCTCGCGGCGGCCAAAGGCAGCCAGGGACTAGAGGCAATGAATGAGAATTGCGATCATGATAGAGGGTTGGACGGGGGTACGTACGATGTCGGCGACCTTGAACTTCTGGGCGGGGGCAGCCATGGTTGTGTGTGGTGAAGATACTAGAGATGCAATGGTTAGACACAGCCAAAATGACAGTGAGAAGAGTGAGAAAAATGGAGAGAGATGGCTTACAGAGAAAAGGGGGGAGAAGGATAAGTGAGGAAAGATGGAGAGTGGAAGGGAGTAAGAGTAGAGGGGGAAGAAGAGAAATAAAAGGGCGGAGAGAGAATGAGAGGGGAAGAGAGTGAAGGATTCAAACGGAGCAAAGCTCGGCCGGCGGGGCTGATGCGGTCGGACTTTCTGTGCTTCCGGGCGGCGTGCTGACGGTGCCTCTCCTGATTGCTGCTGTTGGTCCATCCCCCTCGGTCTCGGAACTTAACCAATGTAAATAACTAACTAATCTAACCATCTCCTCCATAGTCAACTATTAACTAACCGCAGTCTGGAGGATGACTATTGTTTTCCGGTATCCATCGCGACCGGCGGATCCCACTCTGCCCCAATCTTGGGGGTTTGCCGACCATCGGATTTCGGAGAATGAGATTCCTCCCACCCATTCCTCAAGGTGCATCTGGCCCCCTCCCCTCTTTACTTACCTAAGGCCCCGTCAGCAAGGGATGCCACGTCGAAGCAGCCATAACTCTAGTGAATTTGGTCGAAGAAACAGGAACAGAGTCTTTGGGCATGAAGATAATGCACGAGCAATTAAGGCATCAAAAGATTGAAAGATCAACAAGTCAAATCCCGAGTATCCCTCGCCATATCGATAGCAGATCGTGCTGTGTAGCACCGGACCATCCGCAGCCATGCACGAGCTTCAATCCAAGTAATCCCCTCTGCAGATCCCTCACAGAATGCAGCCATCCTGCTCGCCAGTCAACCAAGGTCCCTCCCAGAACTTACCTAGTAGGCCTATCGTAGCAAGGGGCTCTCACTCTCTGGTAGACATCCACCACCGCCAACATCCACTAGTTCTTAGCCACCAACTAGAAGCCATCTACACCACGATGAAAACCGCCCTAGTCACCCTCTACTCCTGCCTCGGGTTGGGTCTGCCCGCCCTGGCTGCCCTCATGGAAATCATGCTGAGCAATTCCACCTCGTGCCAGATCCGTGGCGGGGATAGCATTGCCAATCTTGCCTGTCGGAATACGGTAGGCTGCTTGTTGCTTTTGTTCGGTGTCAAGGAGAGAGACTAATTCAAGGGTTAGTGCATTGAACAGGGTGGTGGGTGGACAGGAGGGTTCTGTGATGATCAGCAGTAGGTATCGTTCTGCACTGGAAGTGTGGTAGCTGACGAAGGGTTTAGGATCTGTCATTGTACGTTTGATATCTCTACTACGGAGTAGATGAGAGCAGAAAGCAGGGTGATGGATGGGAGTAAGCAGATGGAAGGATCATGTCATGTCTGTCATAAGAATTATGTTTAGATTAAATCAATCATTGCAATTGTCCAATGTGACCAATTAAACACCGTCATTAAATCGGTAAAAGTTCATCCATCTCTGCAGCATGGTCAGCCTCCATCCAATTCATAAAAGCCCTCAGGTATAAACCCACCTTATCATACGGCCGGGATGAGTCTGCAAAACGCAGATCCGTCGCCAACCGAATCACTCTATCCGGGTCATTGTTCACCGTCGATGCGTGAATCTAAGTCTCGTCAGCACTATCCCAGACACCTCTGGTTATCCGCTTACCATGTGAGGCTTATGCAGCACCACATCCCCCGCCTCGTATTCCGCAACCAACCAACGCCGGCCATTCTCCTTGGCAAACTCGGCCGGATTCTCCGACAACATGCCCGTGGACATCATATTCGAATTGAAGGCGTATTTAGCTTCTTCCTCCGTCATGCCCGCTGCCAGGGCCTTGGCTGTGAATTCATTCTCAATCTTCTGGCCCACGACATCACCTGTCCTACTAGTCAGCAACCCAAATCCCCGTATTATAGATATAGAGAACCACATACTATCCTCCAAGTAAATCAATCCCCCACCACTCAACTTGATATCCCCAATCGGCACCCAAGCCGTCACAGCCGTGGGCTCCCCATGCCTGATAAAGATTTGGTCATAATGGACCCCAATGGGCTTCGTCTCGGGGATATTATTCCTCAGCAGCGTCCGCTTAAAGGTCAACGTATTGTCCCCCCACCCAGTGAACTTGGCAATAAAGGCATACAGCGCCGGATGCTGGACCAGCTTCTCGGCATACCAGTCCTTGTAGTGGGCCTCGATGGCGCGATCGACGAACTCCGCGGCGCTCTCCCCGCCCGGCCGGCCGTTACCAGCAGCCGCGCCAGCCCCAATGCCGGGGAAGTCGTCGGGGGTTTTGTCTGGGTTGAAGATGCCGTGGACGGGGTCGCTGTCTGTCTTGAGGACGCCGGTGGGGGCAAGGTAGGAGAAGTATTGACGACGGGCTTCAAGGACGTCTTCGCGGGGGAGGACTTGTTTGAGGAAGAGGTAGCCGTCGGCGTCGAAGCGGGCACGGAGCTCGTCGAGGGGGAGATTGGGGTCGGAGGGGCGTAGGAGGGCGGCGTTTTCGGAGGTGAGGGGCCCGTCGCTGACGGCGAGGGTTTGGGTGAGAACTCCGGGCATTTTGTGTGCAGTGGTGGTGATATTGATTGGAGTACTCAGTAGAAGATAGGAGGGAGACAGACCGGGGTTATAGGGTGATATATATATCTATCTGGAGCATATGTCGTGACGTATCCAAAACTTGGAGAATTGGGTCTGCCCCGCGTTTGAAGATTGTTCCATGCAGCAGAGCCATGACTGTTGACAAGTCGATCGGCTGCAGTTTGGAATGGGGGGTGTTAGTAACTTAGTATAGCAGATTGGAGATTGGCGAACAATTCCAGTGGAACACCCCACCTCCGCGTGGAATGATACCCTTCTGGAAACGCCACAATGCGCGGGTGGGGACTCCACTAGGCGGGCAATGCTGCCCTTTTGGCTGTCCCCTCTTGATTCAGTATTGTTTTCCGATCAGCATGCTGCAAGCGATGTTGCAATGGATTCATATTATTGGATTGCTGGAAATGAAGGGTATAACTTTACACAACATGCAGCATTAAATCACATCCGGATAAATCAATCAATCAATCAATCAGTTATTCATCCACCCACTCCCCAAACTCCCATCCCCAATTCCCTTCCTCATCCTCCCCCACCACCAATTTCAACGTCGTAAACTCAATTCGTTCATACGCTCGTCGATGCCACGGTCCCGACCCTCCTTTCCTGGCATCTTCTCGACTGCGCCATACACCTATCATTCATGCCTTATTAGCACACCCACCCTCCCCCACAAACATAGCATCGAACCCAGAAAGAACGAAGGTAAGAACTCACAAGTAGCCAACCCCCTCCTCTCCCCATCTACATTCCCAAACCAATACTTCAGCAACCCACCCCCCGCCACCGCTTCTCGTAACGACATCTCATCCAACACATGCAACTTCTCCCCATCTGCATCGGCCTTCAACGTCGACCGAAACACCACCACATAGAATACATTTTCGTGCCTCCTACCCCAAGTATACCCTTCACTTTTCGCCTGATTTCGCAGGAACGCAAAGACACTGTCCCAGTTGAAGGACTCGGTGTAGGGCGCGGTGGCGTAGTCGGGGCGGATGGGGTGGAATAGGGTCAGGGCTTTGGCGAGGAGTTGGGTGGCTGGGTCGAGGGTCTGGAGGTCGAGGAGGTGATGGGGGGTGTTGTAGGGGGAAATAATGAGGTTGGTGTCTGATGGTGGTATTATGGATGGATTATTGGGGATTGTTGGGTTGAGGCGGAGTTGGAGGGAGGCGGCGGCGTGGAATTTGAAGGCTTCCGGGGAGGTGGTTAGGAGGGAGTGGTGGTTGAGGAGGATGTTGGTGGATGGTGGTGGTTTAAGCTGTTGGTGTTGGGTTTCGGGGGTGGAGGGACGTGGTGAGGTTATGCTGGGGGACATTGTTGGTCTAGTAGTAGTAATGTCTAAGAGTTGATGGTCTATGGTAGTAGTAGTGTAATATAGTATTATGGGGTTGGGTATAGGTGTGTATATGTATGTATAAGGGTGGAAGGTGATTCTAAAGAGTGACAATAATTGCAAATAATATAAAAGCGGGAAGACAAATTGAAGAAAAAAAAATGAAAACAAGAATGATGGGATGAACGACGCCATTTAAAAGAAAACAGGAAGAAATGAAAACCGACAATAGAGAAACTGCTCATACAGATCCACCCGATCCAGATTCCACTCGATGAAGACCACAATCGATCAGATCACCCTCAAAGCACGCAATATGCCGACACTTGAGTCGGTCAGCCGGAATGTTGCACTGCTCGTTGGATGATCAAAATTTGAGAGCCCGGGTGCCTGGATGATCATCGGCTACTAGTTTTATGCTTATCATCGGATCCCCGGGTGCAACATGCAACTGCCTTGCACTACAATATCCCCGGTGGTTGGTTAGGGCTCTGTAACTTGTTGCCCAGGGATAACTTGCCCAGGGACAACAACTACAAAGTACTAGGGGATGGTGGTCAGCTGGTGTGCCAAATGGAGGATAAAGAAAAGTTCTACTATGAAACAACTTTTCGGCGCGATCCCCAGCAGATTTTTGAGTTCTTTGCCCGTTATTGTCACATTCAGGACAATAGCACGACATATCTTCCGGGCTTGCGCCATCAGGGTGAGTGGGCTGGGCTTTGGGCTGGGCTTTGCCTATCCCCAGCCTGAGAAATTTCACCATCCCGTCTGGAACCATGGCTAGCTGTCCGGAGGTTCGCATGGAACCCGGAACCCGGCACCCTTGCACAATATCGTCCGTCCATTGGTCATTGAACAGGCTAAACCATAATTAAGCACTGGTATTTTTATTTAATCCTATCATACAGTTCTTGATGGTATCATGCAAATCCCACGTTATAACGCCTTATGAATGCTCGTAACCTTGAAAACACCAGATCTCCCTTTACTGCTTCACCGGCGGCGGTGGCGGTGCCATTCTGCCCTCGCCGGTATCGACCTTCTTCTTCGGAGGCAATGCCGGAACCTTGAAGCCTCCATTCCCCCCTTGGGGCGCCGTGCTGCTCTGGCCACCAACCTGCGTGAATGTGCCAGACTTGAACCACCGATCCTCCTCGGCCTTGCGTTTCCGACTCAATTCCGCTTGCACCTTAGGGTCCACCAGCTCCAACCCTTGCACGGGCGTGAAGGCAATGGTACTGGCAGTACCGGCTGATCCTCCCAGCGAGGTGCCAACTCCAGAGGTTCGCAGCCCCTTCGCCTGAAGCACACTGGCTGTCCCACTAGCATTGGAGCCGAATGCACGGAGAGATGTAGAGGTACCACTGACGGGAGTTGCGGTACCCCATCCCTTGTTGTTCTTACTAAGCTTCGCCCGGGTTCTCTGGTCGATCTGAGTCGCGCGGATCCGTCCATCGTTTTGTTGGCCAAGCATGCCCAGTCCGACCGTTCCCTCTCCGGTGCCATATCCAACTTCTGCTTCCTCCCTACCAAAGGCAACCCGGTTCTGGGCCTTACGAAGTTCCGTCATGGCGACAGCTTCCTTGGCCTTTCTCGCTCGTCGTCCACCTCGCTTACGGGACGGCTTGTCGTCCGGAGCGGGGAGCGCCTTCACGCCCGAGTTCGGCGCGGGTTCCGTAAGTTTCTCCAGACGCTGAAAACACTGCTGCTTCAGTTCTTCACCCAGAGATCCGTCAGGACTGTATTTGGATACATCTGCTCGCGTAGCAAGGACCATCTTGGCGGAGACGATGCGAATGGCCTGCCGCTTGAGATCGTTCGGGACACCTTGTATAATTGGCGAGTTGTAGAGGAACCCCTGAGACCGAATACCAATATTTGTAGCGAATCCCAGTCCTTCCGATCGCTTCGAGCCCTGTGCAGCTAGGTTGCACGCAGGAATCTTCGCTAGCTCGAGCAGACCTCCGGTCTGGTTCAAGAACTGAGCCGCTGTCTCCGGTCCGATCAAGGCCGCCAAGTTGGGAGCGATCTGGCTCATCCGGGACTGAATGCTCTCTGTAAGCGCCGTCCGTTCGCGATCGAGCTTGAGAATCCGTTCGCATGTATCCATCACGGTCTTGAGTTCGGCCTCGGTCATCTCCCGGCCTCGAGTGGTGGTACCCTCCACGGCCACAACCATCAGGGATGGCCCATCCAAAATCGACCTCAGTGGCACGCCAACCATGTTATCTGACGAGGTTGACAGAGCTTTAATATCGTTGAGCGGGCCATTTTTTAGGATAGCGACAGTTTTCGCATAGTCGATCGGAGTAGTCACGAGCGTCTCGAGCTCAGGAAACCGGATAGAGTAGTGATCGCGCAGCACTTTGTGTAGACGGGTCAGTTCGTCGGCGGTCGACAAGGCGACGTCAAACTCGTTAGTGACCTCAGGAGCTTGTGCCAGCTGCTCCTCATCGACAGCTTCCTCTTCGAGGCCATCGCCAGCCTGGAGATCCTCGTCGTCCTCCTCGAAATCCCTCAAAAGCTCCTCCGCATTTGACATGATGGGCAAACAGCAGCGTGACCAGCAGACAAGCTGTATAGGTCCGCAAAATGAAAGTAAAGCTGCGTAGATGAGATGCAGGTGAAGTGCGAGGTTTGGTTTCGCCGCCACACGGACTGGGCTTTGCAGGCCGTTGCTGAGTCAGCAACGCGGTGGCTGGGGGTGGCGCAACAGACCAACACCGCAGCTTGTCCGACTTTGGATCGCAGCATTCATTCGGAATCTGGATTCAGCATCAACCTCGACTACCGCCCGGTAGCCAGCACAACGCCATTGATTCGGGGTCTTTGGACGTGTTATCTATCGAGCCATATCTAGTTCAGCCCCGCGTGCACGCCAGCACTCCTGGAGACCTTGTCCAGTTTGATCTATACCTCACTTACCCATCGATTATCGTCGCATAAACTACACCGCGATGGAGGCGTCACGCGGCCCTCCCAGGGTCAAGAACAAGGCTGCGGCGCCCGTCCAGATCTCAGCGGAGCAGCTGCTTCGCGAGGCCGTGGACCGGCAGGAGCCCGCATTGCAGGCGCCGACGCAGCGCTTTGCCGACCTGGAAGAACTGCACGAATACCAGGGCCGCAAGCGAAAAGAGTTCGAAGACTATGTGCGTCGGAACCGAATCAACATGAACAACTGGATGCGCTATGCGGCATGGGAGCTGGAGCAAAAGGAGTTCCGCCGGGCGCGTTCAATCTTTGAACGGGCGCTGGACGTCAGCCCGACCTCGGTGGTTCTGTGGATTCGGTACATCGAGTCGGAGATGCGGAATCGCAACATCAATCATGCCAGGAACTTGCTTGACCGTGCGGTGACGATCTTGCCTCGGGTGGATAAGCTGTGGTACAAGTATGTCTACATGGAGGAGACACTGGGCAACATTGCGGGTACACGACAGGTCTTTGAGCGGTGGATGTCTTGGGAGCCGGAAGAGGGAGCTTGGAGCGCCTACATTAAGCTGGAAAAGCGGTACAATGAGTTCGAGAGGGCGCGCGCGATCTTCCAGCGGTTCACCATTGTTCACCCTGAACCACGCAATTGGATCAAGTGGGCTCGGTTTGAAGAGGAGTATGGAACGAGCGATCTCGTGCGGGAGGTGTATGGAATGGCTATTGAGACTCTGGGAGAGGATTTCATGGACGAGAAGCTCTTCATCGGCTATGCCAAGTTCGAGGCGAAGTTGAAGGAGTATGAACGTGCCCGGGCAATTTACAAGTATGCCTTAGATCGACTTCCTCGCTCCAAGTCCATGGCCCTTCACAAGTCCTATACGACATTCGAGAAACAATATGGTGACCGGGAAGGCGTTGAGGATGTGATTCTCTCAAAACGCAGAGTTCAGTACGAGGAGCAACTGAAAGAGAACTCGCGAAACTACGACATATGGTTCGACTTTGCCCGGCTCGAGGAAACCTCGGGTGACCCCGACCGAGTACGCGACATCTACGAACGCGCAATCGCTCAGATACCACCATCGCAGGAGAAGCGGCACTGGAGACGGTATATCTACCTGTGGGTATTTTACGCCATTTGGGAGGAAATGGAAGCCAAGGACGCCGAGCGTGCGCGCCAAATTTACAACGAGTGTCTCAAGTTGATTCCCCACAAAAAGTTCACCTTTGCCAAGATCTGGCTCCTGAAGGCGCAGTTTGAGATCCGTCAAATGAATCTCCAAGCCGCTCGTAAGACGCTTGGCCAGGCCATCGGCATGTGCCCGAAGGATAAACTCTTCCGGGGATACATTGATCTAGAGCGCCAGCTGTTCGAGTTCGTGCGGTGCCGGACACTGTTCGAAAAGCAGATCGAGTGGAATCCTTCCAACAGCCAGTCATGGATCAAGTATGCCGAATTGGAGCGCGGGCTGGACGACACCGACCGTGCACGAGCCATCTACGAGCTTGGGATTGACCAGCCAACTCTCGATATGCCCGAGTTGGTGTGGAAGTCGTACATTGACTTTGAGGAGTACGAGGGCGAATACGACCGGGTCCGCCAGCTCTACGAGCGTCTGCTGGAGAAGACAGATCACGTCAAGGTGTGGATCAACTACGCCCGCTTCGAGATCAACGTCCCCGACGAGGAAGAAGAGGAAGAGGAGGAGGAAGAGGAGCGGCCGATCAGCGAGGATGCCAAGCGTCGTGCTCGGGCCGTTTTCGAACGAGCTCACAAGGTGTTCAAGGAGAAGGAGCTCAAGGAAGAGGTAAGCTGTACTCGACATTCCTTTTCTGACATATCCCTGACTAACCATGACACAGCGCGTGGAACTGCTCAATGCTTGGCGCTCATTCGAGCACACGCACGGTTCACCAGAAGACATCGACAAGATCGAGAAACAGATGCCCCGGCGAGTCAAGAAGCGGCGCAAGTTGGACGACGATCGGTACGAGGAGTACATGGATTACGTATTCCCGGCAGACGACCAGTCGGCGGCGAATCTGTCGAAGCTGCTGCAAAGAGCTCACCAATGGAAGCAGCAACAGCAACAACAGGGGGATGGAGCATAGATGGATGTACCAGGGTAATTCTATACATAGCTGGGAATATAATGGCATCACGAGATGTATCATGTCAGTGGTACTTGCTCTTGCATCTGGTCACACGTGCGATTACCAATTTTGTGTAGCACCAATCCATCTTCTGGCACTCTGTGGACTCCTTCCTTCTACGAGTGACGCCATGTAGTACTCCATAAGTAGTCAGTCAGATAGCTGCACGTGATCTAGATGCACGTGTGTTGGATCTATTATAAGGTTGTTTGGGTTATATACTTCAAAATGAGCCAGTCTAAACAAGAACAAGGGACGATGGCGCATCTGGGAGCGCGTCAGACTGAAGATCTGGAGGTGGCCGGTTCAAGCCCGGCTCGTCCCATTCTCTTTTTTTTTTTTTTTTTTTCCTGGTGGGTCCCACCCGACCTCATACTACGAACGCGTGGGTTCGAACTCACCTATATGATTGTTTGTAAGGTAGTCCGTCTGATTGCATGAAGGAAAAAAGATGGAGCACTTTGGGGTTTTTTTTTTTTTTTTTTTTTTTTTTTTTTTTTTTTTTTTTTTTTCATTTACCTTTTTTTTTTTTTTTTTTTTTAATATTTCTTTCCGGAAGCGAAAGAAATATTGCAGTTAAAATACAGGCGACAGTGGACTGGATAAAGGCAGAACAGAGTCTATACCGCAAGATAAAGATAACCATAACTACAATAACCATCGCGAAGAAGTAACAGGACTAGGAAGCAGAATGCGCAACTCATCTTACCAAGTATCCTACGTCCTGAACGAGACTCATTTGGTCGTCTTTCCTCTCTTTGCCCGACGCCCTCTTGTTTTCTTCTTCTCGTCCCCTTTCTCCTCTTTCACCTGCTGGCCTGCCTTCTTCCCTGTTGCCCCTGTTGCCCCTCTTGTCCTGCGTGCTCGTTTGGGTGCCGGTCTTTCTATATCTTCATCTGCTTCTTCGTCATTCTCTTGCTTCACTGGGCTTCCTTCTATAATCTTTCCCTCCTCTTCTCTCTGTGTGTCTTCCTCCACTCTTTTGCCCTCTTTTTGCTTCTCCTGCCGTTCTCGTTCCCATTCAGCCCGGTGCTTCGCCAGTGTTTCCTGCCTCTCTCTGTAGACTTCATGCGCCTCAGCTTGCCGTTCTTGTTGCAACTCGTGATACACTTCTTCTGTACAGTCGCCATCCTCAATCACTGCGACAGCTTGAGTCCATGATTCTAAGTGACCGTCAGGGACTGCCGCTCCAATTCGTGACACTGCAGGCTGCAAGATGAGCAGAATTCGATGCCCGTCCAGTCTAGGCTGGTGCGGCATAAGAACATGACGGTACTCTGCAGTCACGGATAGATCGCCTCGCCAGAACAAGGGCGAGGCCAACTTTGTAAGGGTTCGATACGTGCAGATACCATGAGAAGAGCCGAGGCTGATAGCCAACCGCTCAGCTCTCTCGTAGAATTTGACAAGCTTTGCCTCCCGAACAGCGGTATCTTCACAGTTTTCAAGTAGCATTTGGAATGGTGGGTGTTTCAGCATGGCGCAAGCGAATGATCGAGCCAAGCCCTCACGTCGACTCTTTGTATGCCGGCCCATCTCAGTGTTGTTGGCCTGGTTATCATTGACGGAGTTCGCAAGACGAACGGTCTCGGTCTTCCAAAGGCTGGCAGATTTGGGATTCACTATTCAATAACAAGTCAGTGGTGAGACGAGGCGGTCATTGAACCTGGGTGAGTGAAGGGATTGGTGGCCTCACCGATCAGGAATTGCTCATACAGATGCTGCAGGTGTTTTGCAAATGACAGCGAGCTCTGTGTTCGAGGCTCAACGTCTATCGGGTCCGTCTTTCCCTCAAAATACCAAAAGGGATTCTCGAAGAATTTATCGACTATGTCCTTTACGAGCATCGTTCGGCCGATGGCATGGGGCACTTGGGTACGGATTGGATACGGCAGAGACCCTACAAGAGTATCCCAGTCCAAATCCTGTACGCAATAGCCATCCAGGCTCTGAAGAATACTTTGTTTCTCACTGAGAGAGAATTCTGCCAGCGCAGCCGTATCCCTTTTCACGTAATTGTCGGCCCATATTTTAGCCTCGATGAAAAGCTTGGTAAACGCATCTCCATATTCGATGGTGGGTCTTTGCCAGCCGCGTCCCCCGGAGCCTGCCCACCACCAGTTTTCTCGACGGTCCTTCTTCAACTCCTCGACTTCAGCCTGGAGATGATCGATCTTGACCTGGAGTGCATCGATATCTTTATTTCCCCCTGACCCTTCTAGGGTTGGAGCCGGGTCCGTGTCTTCGTGGACATGGGACGGCGAGGGTGCTTTGGAGGATGGTTCCTTCAATGAGGAGTGGGAGAATTCAGAGACCAGCTGACGAATACAGAACTCTCGAGGTTGAAATGCTCACCTTTACTTCCTTTCTTTTCCCCATTACGCTGGGACGATGATGAATTTCGAACTTGAAGGGATTCTCTTTCCCAAGAGCTGAGTGATGAGAGAAGGAAATTCGAACCTTAGGAAGGAAGAAGGGTGGTACTTGAGAGATTTTGGAACAAACAACCGCCATGAAAGAGCTGGTCTCAATGGGCAAAGTCGTTGTTCGTAAACGGGGCAAAGGGAGCTTCTTTGTCCTGTCTTTCTTCCTTTCCACTTGCTCTCCTCTTCTAACCCGCCTTACCTACCAACCCGTTTCTAAACGGACTGTACGAGCACTCCGGCCTATGATATCTCGTGGCGTCTCAAGCGATGAAAAACCTTCCGAGACATTGCAACCTGCTTGGGCCTATCAGCTCGCTGGCCGCCAGGCCGGAGGTGGCGGGATTCCAAAACGCCATGGCCTGGAGACTCTACCCATCGAGCATGGCGAGCTGCAAGAGAGCCACTATTGAGGACTTGGGGAGGGGCCAACAAACGGTGATAAATACCCCATTCCCATTCCCATTCCCGAGTTCCTCGTCTTGTTTTCTCGCTGACTCCCCTGTCTCCATTTGTTAACATCTTACTTTAACCATCGTTCATCTAACCTGTCTGTCATCGACCCATTACCTCATCTTCTGTAACCACTACTGTGCGCCTCTGCTCGTAGAATCTGAATATGGCTCAATACACCAACAAGATCATCGTAGGTGTGGATGTTGGTATGACGTTCACTGGTGAGTGTATGCTTTTGGACCAGGAGCTTCGTGCAGGAACTGAATGATTCCAGGCGTCGTTGTAGCTCAAATCATACCCGGAGAAGAACCCGAGTTTCTAGTCATCCAAAATTGGCCCGAAAAAGACTCTCTCAAGGTCCCGACTAGCATAAGCTACCCGGGAAGCGAGCCTCTGTGGGGCTGGCGTGCCTACGCCTACCCCCCAACTTACGCATGGTTTAAGTTGTTATTAGACCCTAAAGGCCGCCCTACTGAGCCTCAGGACGAGCTTCTCAGGAACTTGACTTATCAGAATCTGCTAATGGAAGCGCCGGGTAAGACCGCCGTGGACATGGTAGGGGATTTTCTCGGACGGATACGTCGTTTCATTCAAGACCGATTGACGTCTCTTTCTCTTCCTACCAAAGAGACGCTTGTACAATTCCATTTTTCCACCCCAGTGGCCTGGGAAGAGGATGCTCATATGGCCATGCGGACGGCCATTACCCAAGCAGGATTCGACACTGTAGGCTCGGAAAATGTGTGTCTCAGCTCCGAGTCGGATGCGTCGGCCCGCTATGTGTTAGAGCAGAAAAGCGAGATGCTACAGGTTAGTGAAGGACTGCGAGGGATCCAGTGCGACTGAACTTGCTGACGAGGGCATCTTGGACCAACAGATCGGCGAAATTTTCTGCATCTGCGACATAGGCGGATGCACCATTGTGAGCACCTCCCTAGCAGAGGCATCCAAGTCGTTCGCCTGACAATTGCCCTAGGATTCAGTCTGTTATCTTGTGGTGTCCAAAGGCCCAGCTTGGGTACTGGAACCATTGAGCAAATCCTGCGGTATGTACTGCCAGCTTCGACTTGTGCCAGTCAACTTCTCTTGACACATTCCGCAGGCCAAATCGGTGGTGCAATCCAGGTCGACTTTCTCTTCCTTCAAAAGATGCATAAAAGACTTAAGGAAGCGTTTGTTAAAGAATTCAATCGCAATGGTGGTATGGCGAGCCAATTCATGGCCCAGTTCACGGAACTCAAAGAAACCTTTGATGGCACCGGGGGAATCCGTAGGCTGAACTTCAACATGAATGTGGTTTCGGACCACTATGATGCTCAAACTCAAGAGATATTACTTTCTCTCAGCGATATGGAAAAGTTCTTTCGACCGACCATTGAAAGTTCAATCCAGATAATGAGCCACCAACTTGACCAGGTTGATATCATGTGTCGAAAATATGGAGGCCATCAAGTCTCCCACTTGTTTATCACTGGAGGGTTCGCTGCCTCTCCTTATGCCAATAGCCAGTTCAAGACCTTGTTTGAGCAGCGAAAGGTGCAGCTAACCGTCCCGGAGAACCCAGCCATTGCGACGGCCTACGGGTCGGCCCTTCTAGGTGTTTTTGATGTGTCGTACACCATGGTGAATTGTGCCCGCACTTATGGAATATATCATGACGACCGACTTTATGCCATTCCTTAAGAAGGGCGGCCGGGAGCGACCCATAATGGAGCGATTGAAACTGATGTACAGCAAAGAAAAGGCATCAATTACTTGGATATTCAAGAAGAATAACCAGTACCAGGCGGTTGAGCAGTACTCCTGGGGATTCGAGCTTCTGCATCAGCACAACATGCCGTTGATCAAACCGATTGCTATCTACTCAGTCGACGACCCAAGCCCACGCTCAAAGCCCGAATTGCTCAACCCGAATCAATCAAAATGCCTCGCCTATATTCAACTCGATCTGTCTCAGATCGACCTGACCGTCCACCCTCACATAAATGACAAGAAGGGGCACACATTCTTCCAAGTTCTTGTCGATGTACAGGCGACCCTCTGCCTCAAGAAAGGGGATTTGAGCTTTCAACTTTCAGTAGGTGGAATTAATTGTGGCAATTGCAAGGTCCATACAGTTTGGGCATAGATTGCTCAAGATGTCGCTGCACGGTCTACCTAGTTAGTTAGCTAGCTAGCTGCATGGTTGGGTTTTCAACAAGACATGGGGGAGCAAACGCTGTACCCGGTTTGTTCAGCTTCGGCAAACCACTTTTCCATTACCTTATTTCGTATTTCGTTTGTTGTGTTCATTTCGGGATTTTCTTTCTTTCTCCTTTTCATTGTTATTCCCCCCCCCCCCACAATTCTTCTTCTTTCATTCCTATACACACACACACACACACACACACACACACACACACACACACTCTCTCTCTCTCTCTCTCTCTCTCTCTCT